GCTCTTGAAAAAATGTGATAGGAATTTCTTAAAAAAAAAATAGTAGCGACAGTTCTCACCCGTTTTACCCTGTGTTGCCTCAAGCCAAAGCGTCCTCCGTTAAATTAATATGAAATACTAGTCAGTCACCTAAGATAAACAGTGAAATAAAGTTATAAAAGTAGTTTTTTGTAACAGGCTTGGTTTCAGATACAATTTACAGGAGTGGACGGATGATCTTGTGATAGAGGGGGCCTAGAGATATAGTATACAGTGGCAATATGGGCGCGATAGCGCCCATCAGGACAACGAACGACGCACTGTTCTAGGGAGTTTCGGGCGCATGCTCCCCCGGCAAAAATTTTGACATCGAAGTTCTCTGAGATGAAATCTAGTGCATTCTGGACGCTTACATTTAGCGAATGCCTGGATTCCATATTGAACATGTGAAAATGCTGAAATATTTAAGAAACCTCAGGTGTGACTGTGGTCAAAGAAGTAACACTTTATGATGCTAGCAGGGGCCGAAGCGATGGCGGCGCGAGCACAACCTCCCGGCAAAGGCGGCAACATTGTCTCCCTGAAAAGTTGTCAAATCCAGTTTGTTTGAGACGGGATATTCACTGCACGATTCTGGGAGCTTTGGTCATTTGCGACTGAAAATGTAGGCTTCGATCACAGATTCTTTTCTTATTAACAATGTTTATTAAAGAAAATATACTTAAGTAACAAAGCTCAAAGTACAATCCAACCCACGCTGCCCGTTCGGGATTTCCTGCTTTAGTTGCAAGAAATAGTTTTCTTCTTGGCCATATAATAAATTCTTTATTGACCAAGCTTGTTCGTTCAAGATGGCTGTATATGGGGCTCATTCTAGATCATTCGTTTTTGCGTTTTTATTGACCCCGACTTCGTCTCGGTCAATAAAAACGTAAAAAAGGCCAAAAGCAGCCATCTTGAACGAACAAGCTTGGTCAATAACGCATATGCATTTGTGTTTTTTCTTAAATAGAAGTCAATGATTTTTTTAAAGAATTCGCTCCTTGTTAACATTTTTTAGAATAATACATCTTCCGTCAAGCACACGAACGACATGTGATGATTGAGTTAAGTTTGTCTTAATCTTCTTTTTTTGTCACGGCCACACACTTCATTTTTAAACGGGTGTTAGAATGATTGCCGGTTAGTAGCTATTTTCCCTGTCGTTGACCTGATTTCAAATAAGGCGCTGATGCCTGACTATAAATAATGCCAAGAGCCATTTGACATCCCAGCATATAAAATTGTCAAAAACAGTATCATCACCAAGAGTCAAGGGCTCTTGCATGAATATTTTAATTGTTACAATAAACGAGCGATTTCTCGCGCACTCATTGGTCGAGCAATGGTCTTACCGGACTAACAATGCCTAGTACTACCACAGGGAACCCGAACGCTCTATCCCGGGGGCGGGGGGAAGGACTGCCATATATCGGCTATATAGGTATCTGCCGCTGTGAAGGGTATGGTTTTCAAGCAGTTTACTCTAGGATTGCGTATATCAATCAGAGCGTTTGGGTCTAGAATAGGGTATCATCTTCAACCAACTGATCAGTTGGTTGAAGATTTTATGTAGACTAGGGATTGTGGTATAAGGTTTTGTTTTGGCTAGACATGTGCTACTCTAGGATAGGGGGGATTTGGGGAGTTTACTCTAGTATAGGGTAGCAAAATTCAGCTGAACTAGCTCTGGTATAGGTTAAGGGTTCCAGGGTCCCAGCGGCACATTCCCACCCAGAAATCCCTAAAGTACCCCCAGGCGCTCTGTTAGCTAATAGAAAAATTAGATGTATTTCGCCTGTATTAGCTAATAAATTAATAAGATGTATTTATTTACCTTTGTTCCTGTGTCTTTATGAGTCGTTTTGGACTGGATTTGAATCCGATCAGAGACGGTTAACATAATTTTCTGGTTATCAAAATGCGTTTGCTTGTCTGGTGCGTCGTAAATAAGACGCTCAAGTTTCCTCTCACGTTTCGAATAATGTTAACTATTAACCACAGGTAGGCCAAGCTCGAAATATGAGCATCGGCGAACATCGGCATTGTTGCGTAACATTGGAAGTATAAGGATTTGTCACGGAAAAAAACCTATCGTTTCTGTAACCTACGAAAATGAAAGGATTTCAATAAAAAAAAACACCTTTTTTTTTTTTTTTTTTTTTTTTTTTTTTTTTTTTTTTTTTAACAAAAAAATTAATTACAAATACTTGTTATTTTAACTATGAAAATATATATATCTATATGGCAAAAAACAAACTAAATTTGTAACGAAAAAAAACAAACAAACAAACAAACAAACAAACTAAATTCAAAGGAAAAAGACGCAAACCTGATAAGTGAAACAGTATAGCAGTAAAGTGTAGCTTGAAGGAAATGACACTAGCATTCACGTATCTAAAGAAGTTTGTCCCATGTTTTTTGGAATTGCGATAAGCAGTTAGATCTAAAAGCTATTGTGCGAAGAATATCAATTTTGTTGTTGAGACGCAGTAGAAAACTGTCAAAGTCCAGGACGCCGTTGCGTACGCTTGTGGCAAAAACATTATATTTGGCGACAATCAAACAGTAATTAAGCACTTCCCAGTTATTTGACTCTTTGTGCCAACCATATAGAATAGTGCTTTCAGATAAAGTCAGTTTGTGTTTAAATTTTTCGTGCCACCAGTTAGAAAAACAAGTCCAAAACGAAGAGGATACACTACAGGTAATTAACATATGTTTTAGAGATTGACTTTCAAGGTTGCATAAAGGACAAACATCAGTATCAGTTATGCGCGCGCGGAAGAGGCTAGATTGGGTAGGTAAAATGTTGTGAATAATTTTGACTTGGAACATGATCAGTTTTGGTTCTTTCAAGATTTTAAACGGGAGCATGTAGATGTAAGGAATTTCCTCTTTGGTGAACCCATGATCTAGAATTCTGCCTTCAGCAGTGGGTGCTGAGAAGCTTTTATCAAGTATGGAAGAATAGGCTTCTTTTGTGGAAAAAAGCTTCAAGGATGTTTCGCGCTTTTCAGATTCATCATGCACGCCTGTTTTGACTCGTAGTGCACTTTTCCATTCAGTTGGTATGGCTCTTAAAAGGCCGTAATAAGTGGTAAAAGGAAATTCAAAGTTATATTTCTCTTTCATTTCTGATAAGGTAAGAAATTTAAGGTTAACATTTAGAAGGTCTTCGATGCAACGAATTCCACTTGTACACCAGGATTTAATATAAATTGGTTTCCATCAATACATATGTTACGGTTATTCCAAATTATTTGTTTTTTTTATGGAAATTTGCTTGTCACAGGTTAGTCTTCTGAAGTCATGCCAGTAATTTAAAATGGTGTGGTAAAACTCCGGAAGGTTCTCTAAGTTGAGTAGCTTAGGATCGTAGTCGCATTCGATGAGGAACTCTAGACCTCCGTATTGGTTAAGAGCTTGATTTGGGATTTTTTTCCACGAAGCATTACTTGATTCAGCAATACGCTTTATCCAAGCAATCTTTAGCGACCGCTCCATGATTTCAAAATCAATCATTTTTAGGCCCCCATAGTGTTTTTCACCAATGATAGTCTTTTTTTTTAATTTTGGGAGGCTTACCCTCCCAAATGAAGCCGAAAAATAATCTTATTAATTCTGTCTATAAGGGATTTAGATACGGTCAGTAACGAACTGCAATATATGAGTTTCGACAAACCTAACGTCTTCACAATATTGATTCTGCCAATTAAAGTTAGCTTTTTTTTTTCCAGTTGTTGAGTGTTTTTCTAAAGAACAAACCTTTTCTTCAAAATTAAGGGTGTTGGCTTGCTTTAAGTCATAGGAAAAGTGTATACCAAGGGCATAGACTGGTTCTTGGGGCCATTTAAAAACCAAACGGCTTGTCTTTGCGCGACCTCCAACATCCTAACCACAACGCTTCGGTTTTGTTTGTGTTAATTTCGAGACCACTGATCTGCTTGAATTTGTCTAAATGTTTTAGTAATTGTGTGACAGAATCAAGATCTCGCACCAAAACGGTGGTATCGTCTGCGTATTGGGTTATCTTAATTTCATTCTGACCGACTTGGATACCTTTAATAGTATGGTCTTTCTTAAGTACTCTAGCTAAGAGTTCGATTCCAACGACGAAAAGGAGGCCAGACAGTGGGCAACCTTGTCGCACACCTCGCTCGAGAAGGAAGAAGTCCGATGCATGACCATTGTGCAGTACACAGCTCGATGCTTGGTTGTAAATAACTTGAAACCAGTTGAGTATGTCAGGGCCAAAATTAAACGTTTGTAAAGCGGCTCTTAAGTAGTTCCATTCTATTGTATCAAACGCTTTTCGAAAGTCAAGAAATATGGCAATACCGGGTTTTTCTTCCTGCTTAGTGTGAGACATTACATCTTGAATTAGTCTAACGTTTTCACCGATAAAGCGTCCTTTAATGTAACCAGTTTGGTCAGAGTTTATGATTTTAGGGAGGACTTTTTCTAGTCTTTTTGCAATAGATTTTGTCAGAATTTTGTAATCAACGTTTAGTAGAGATATGGGTCGCAGGTTTTCAAGTAAAGTTTTGTCTTTGTTCTTTTTGGGGATGAGTGAAATGATTCCACGCTTTTGGCTGATAGATAGTGAACCTTTTTGGAAAGCATAATTAAAACTGGCAGTCATCTCAGTGCCAAGGTCACTCCAGAAGAATTTGTAGAATTCTGCAGAAAAACCATCAGTTCCTGGCGTTTTATTGTTTTTAAACTCTTTTAAGGCAGTTAAGCATTCTTCTTTTGAAATCATGCCTTCACACAGTATTTGTTCGTTTTCATCTAGCGGATCAATATTCTCTAAATTGAATAAATCAGATTCAGGTAGATTATCCTGGGAATTTTGCGACTTGTAAAGAGTTTCAAAAAAAGTTTTTTGTTCTTGTAGTATCTCAAACTGATCACAAGTTACCTGATTGTTAGGAAGTTTGAGCCTCTTCATTCCTCTTGTTCTTAGCTTTGATTTTTGAATACTTGATTGTGAATCCGCGAATTTCCATTTTAATTAAGTCCCATTTTAGACCTAAGTCATCCAGGTCAGCATATTTATCTTTGAAATCCGGTAGACTTTCGCGGATTGCGGAAGTGAAGTCTTCGTCCTCTAATAGAGAATTATTAAATTTCCAAAAACCAGGAGCTTTAGGTTGCAATAAATCTTCTGTCTTAAGATGTAAAGTGACAGCCGAGTGATCAGTTTCAGGGGCGTTAATTATATTGCAAGCATGTGTGTCACTGCTGAGTTCTTTTGAAATTAAAAAGAAGTCTAGTCGGCATTGGATTTTTAGCGATTTGTTTCTCCAAGTGAAGCGGTTGTCGTTCGGATTGCGATCGCGCCAAATGTCTGTTAAATTATAGAGGTTCGCAAGATGCTGAACTTCTTTAATTACTATGGATTTTTTTCCAAACTGAATTTCCACCTTTTTGTCATTTTCAGAAAGAGCGCAGTTGAAGTCACCTGCGATAATAATATTCTCTTGGGCAAAATCTTCAAGCTGATTTTCTAGCTCTTTAAAAACGTGACTTGCTGATTCGCGTCATTCGGGGCATAAATATTCACTAGAATTAGATGCAACTCATCAATTAATAGGTCAAGTATAAGAAACCTGCCATTCGTGTCTTGGATGCATTTTTCGACCTTGACATCTAAGTTCGGAGTAACGAGAGTCATGACACCTTTGCTGTGTGAACTGCCGTGACTAAAATAAACCTTCCCACCCCATTCAGCTTCCCAAATTTGGGCACATTCTTTAGAGCTGTAGGTTTCTTGTAAGAATGTGAAATGGAATTTTTGATTATGTAACCAACGGAAGATTGATCGACGTTTGATTGACTTATTCAGTCCTCTTACGTTTAAGGACTGGAATTTAACATCAAAACTAGGTTTTAAAGGCGTCAACGGGACAAAGGGAAAAAGTCAGAAAATTGCGCTGGCAACGGTGGACTTTGACAGCTGTCTTTTGGCCAAAGTGTGAATGTGAATGCAGTGTTTTGGTGATTAAAGTGTTCAAACTACTAGTAGAAATAAAATAAATTATCAAAGGACTTAGACAAACATTACTTAAGAAACATAAACAGAAAAATAAAAAAGGCGCTGAAAAAGGCCTTCGAACGCACCACACGAAAGTGGTTTGGCGTACTTGAGAGGGTAGCATAACAAGGGACGTAGAAAGCATCCGCAATAACAACGACTTTGACTCTGAATGTAAAATAAACGGATTTGCCATTTTGAAAGGTGCAAGTGAAAATTTGGTTACCGCAAGGGAAGCATGAAAATAGCGAGTTCCATCTCAGGGTCGAAATTAAGTCCTCGTATTTGGAAACACAAAACTAGAGCATGATTTTAAAGGCAAGAAGCAACGGAGTAAAAATAAAACTGGTTTTCAACTAAGAGTTAATTTTAAAGTTTTGTGAAAGGATTGGACTTACGGAAAAAGCGTCACCTATTCGCTTTGACTAAGCAGTTCTTGGGATTGGACCATAACATCAGAGGATTCTTCTTGACTTTGCAGTGGTTCTTGATGTTCGGCTGTACCATTGCCATAATCCTCATGGGTATTCACTGAAGAGTTGACAGGGAGCCATTTTTTCGGCACGTCATAATGAAAGTAAACTTTTCCATTAACAACTAACTTATCTCCTATGACGGAAGCTTTGTGGCTAGGTGTTTCTTGTTTTATCTTCTTCATCGCAGGGATAAGGACGTTTTTCCTGATTTCTTGTATGTGCTTCAGGAGGTCTTCACTCATTGAAATACGCGAGTTTTTCAGCCTGTAGCGAGCTTTCCAGACACGATCTCTGTCAGCACGACACGTGAAGCGAGCAATAAGAGGTCGGGCTCTGTTTCTGTTTGGCTTGCCAAGACGGTGTGCCCGCAAAGCTTCATATTCGAGACTTCGTCTTGTGGTAGGTTTAAATTTCGGGTTAAGACGTCACGTACCAGCGAGAAGCAATCCTCGTCTTTGGACTCATTGACTCTGTAGAAAATTAGATTCCATCGACGACTATAGATGTTTAAATGAGTCAGCTCATCCCAACAAGTTGACTGCTCGTTTTCGCAGTTCGCGACGCGTTCCACAAGGTCGTCATGCTCACCTTGGGTGAACTCAAGGGAATCTTTAGTGTTGTTCACTGTCTTATCGACCTCACGGAGTTGTTTCTTTAAGGCTTGTATTTCAACTTGGGCTTCGTCAAGTCTAGCCTCCAGATTAAGAATTCGTTCTTCGCGGATTTTAGTGTTGTCTTCGATAGCTGTAAGTCTTAATAAGAAACTTTGATATTCTGTTAGCGTCATTTTGATGTAGGCGCCATCTTGGGCTGCTTCGATGGATTCCGTGTCGGTGCCAGAGCTGCTTATCCTCGGTCGTTTTTTATCTAAATCTTTGTTTCCCATGTTGGTAGCTGTTAGTACGATGAAAAACGTACAAGAAAGGCAATATTCACTGTGTTGTGTTGATTTCTCAAAGCCGGGTTTGCGGAGCTTTCAAATGTGCGTCTACTTCCAAGAGCTCATGCCCAGCCCTCCTAAAAAACACCTTACCTTACTTAAAATGTGTGTTACGTCTCTCCTGTGTGGTCCACGGGCCGATTTATGTCCGTCTTATGGGTTTTAATGTAAACGGTTTTCTCCATATATAAAGGTTTACCAAGGTTGGGGACTCCAGCGAAGGGGTCCGACGGATGCGCCGAAGGAAAACGGCCGTAAATTCGCTCCAACGGCTCCAGTGGCATCCAAATTCCGACTAGGTAACACGCGATCAGTCGTCAGGAAACTTGGCAAACAGTTTTAGCTTAGTGGTCTTAACAATATGTGACAAATTCATTGTTGAAATATTAGTCACGTGACCTGCAAATGATCGTTAACCTTCAAAGTGTTCAAATTAAAACGGGGGAAAGGAAATGAAAGGGCAGCAAATATTCTTAGGCACCAGTGTTTTTTCCATGGCCTGGATATTATGAAATAGCCCTGCATGTATGCCTAAGTAGAGCAAGGATTACAAAATAAAGAAAAACAGGTCACGTGACTGATAAAAGACTTTAATATCTTAGTTAATATTTTAGCTCTAACGAGCATGTCCTTTAGGGATTTTCCTTTCTTGTAGGAAATGATGGGTGGTTCTTTAAAAATTTGGCGAAGTAGCGGTTGGTTTTGTATAATTGTCCTTTTTTCATTAAAACTTCCTTTAAAGTAGACACTGAAGGCTGGTGCTGTGTCACGAAAGGCAATATTTCTTTTTCCTCTTTGTTGTTGTGTTTCAGGAGAGCAGACTCCCTCTCTGTGAACTTTATATCTGATAGAAGGTTTTCTATCACAGTTTGTGGGTAGCCTCTGTCAATCAAGCGTTTTATGAAATTTGAAATATTTTCCTCAAACGTAGTTTTTGAGTAGTTTGTTCGTAGGATTCTCAAGGCTTCTCCTTTGACAAATCCTTTCCACTCGGCGGGTAGCCTCCCACGCAGGCGTTTTTTGGGGAGCCTTTTGGGGTATTTCTTGAAATGTGTTTACTGGAAGGTTTCCGTTTTTTTAAAATGTGTCTTTAAATCAAGTATAGATTTTTCCTTGAATCTTGTGCCCCACCTCCAAAGCCAGGGAAAAGCGCAATGGGGACGAGGTTGTTAACAACCTTGCCCCGTTTGAGAAAACAGGTTTTGTGAAGTTATGGTCCAAGGAATGTCACGTGATGCTTCGGATGAATTTTCTAAGACTTTTTTAGTGAGATATGTCTTATCCTATCTTTGTGGAACCCTTTACTTGGATCCTTCTGCGTCATTTTAAAAAGGATCTTTGCATTCTCTATGGGGGTTGAAAGAGTGGTCTGCCCGCCATATCACTTGCTTTCGGTCGAGCTAATGTTGGAGGTTCAACAGTCGGATTAGCTCGTAATTGATCTGGTAATTTCCCGTTGGTCGACGTTGACCGTTCGTTCGCCAGGTTTACCTCGCTGACACTGTAACGCATTGCGTCGTTTGGTGAGGTGTAAGAACAGAATCGAGCTTCAGAAATTCAACAGACTTATTCTGTCAACGAAAGACACAAAAGCACGTGAGAACGACTGCAAGAGTGTTATGCAAGTTCACGTGGTATGACGTTATACACTTAGACCCTGTTTACATACAGTAGCGGACCCCGGTCTAGTGGGGTTGGTTTCTTTTGTTTTCACGCTCTGGGGGACACAAAACAAAAGAAACCTACCCCACTAGACCGGGGTCCCCCACTCCATGTAAACGGGGTCTAAAGAAAAGCAAATAAACTAGTAGCACCTCTTCCCTGTTTACTTAATCAGCCTAATCACAATTTGCTTCGGAACAAAAGTGGCAGCCGCGGTGAAAACACGTGGTTAGCTTTGTTGCTGTTTTAAGCGTTGACAAGAAAATTCGAGTTGTGCCTCACTGATGCAATCGGGATTTAAGCAATTAATAAAATCAAAACATTGTCGCTCATCTTCTCATTCATATTTGAAAGCATTTGCTTTATACGACTTAGCTTTCGTTGAAACACAGTATTCTTGGAGCACCTTAAGGTACGATAATGTACTTAAATCATTTTTTCTGCACTACACGGCCACTAACAGTATATATTTCGATGTTTTGCTGAATTTCCTTCGAGTCATATCAGTGCTAGAAATGCCTGCTTTCACAACATTTTCGCTCGAGTCACGGACCAAAACAAACATATAATATATTTGCACGTTGTTCTCTTCGTCGAAAATATTCACACTCAAATGTAAATTAACAAGAGCTAGGTAAAAGACTAAAAAGACTGAAAAGACTAACTTAAGGTGGACTAAATCTAAGCTCTGGTATTTTGTTTTTTCTTATATTTATTTTTAGCTCAAAAGCACAAGAATGGAATTCAAATTCCTGATGGTTGCTTTGTTGGTGGTGATGTCTTCGTCCCGGTATGAAGCAACGACCTGTCCTCGGTGGGTGAAATTAAACAAGTCGCCCGTCTGCTTTAGTGCGAAGGGGAACCAGTTTGGCCGTTTTTCTTACCATCAAAACGTCTTCGTGAGTTCGTTCATGCTTGTGCACCGCTCGGGAAAGGTGACGTGTGACAAAAGCCAGTACAGCTACTGGGGATGTGTTCCCAATAATGCAAACCTTGGTGTCCTGTTGACCGATCAGAACAACAAGATACTGGTTCCAGAGGCATCAACCGTTACCAAGCATGGATGGTACAATCTGGCCGGATACAGCTCCTCCTCCGCGGTCCTTATGTTCTGCGCCAAAAAGAAGCCTCAATGTGTCTTTGCTAACAACGAGCTGCGTCTGTGGTATGGCGAAGATTTGCGCGGCCCTGCTAGCGAGAGTGACAATGGGGGCAAGACCTGCGCAGATGTATATGCTCTGTTTGTTTAAACAAGAAACTAAACCTGCGATGAAGACTTCGAAAATAACTAAAACTAATCTGTAACTGATGATGATATCATGGAAAAAGCGTAGAGCTTTGTAGTTGTTTGTTATGCTAATGACCAGAAACTCTGTAATGACTCAATAAAGTATCTCGCGGTGATAAATATTTCGTAAGTTGTCTCTGAACTTTCTACTACTGAAACGTCTTGTTTCTTCCTCAATATTTTTACAAACACAGTTTTTTGCATGATAATGAAGTATTTAAATTCCAAAAAAAACACTCAGGCTAAGCCTGACTCTTGTCTTAGTGGATATATGAACACCCTGCAATAATTATAAACTGTGATGTGATTATTGGTATTCTGAGTACCACACAAGAGCCAAAAACTATTATTCATTAAGCAAACTAATGCTAGTAAAAATTCGCGATAGTGAAATGTCAACGAAGATATCTTCTTCTCTATAACAGAAACCAATTAATTACAGCTTATTCATTGGGCGAGCACTTTATTCGAAACATTTTTACATAGATTCAGTAAATCGGGTTTGGCGTCGTCTCTTTTGGTGCAAGTATGATTCTACGTCTTGAAAGTTATTGGACTTTTTTATACATTTTTGCCGAAAGGACTAATTAACCGGGATAAGCAGGGGTACTTTTGGAAAGCAAGTAGAAATGACAAGAGAGAATTAGCTAGATCATCAGGCGCCGATCCACACCGGTTTCCACCGTTTTACGGAAATCGGTCATATTTTCATAATTAATATGTTTCAAGAGAGCTCAATTTCTCTTGTATGTTTTTAATAATAAAAACACTTTCCAAGTTACTATCTGGCCAACATTCTGTCTGAATGACTTGGAAACCCAGGAAAGGGGACTTTAAGTAGTAAAAATCCAATTTTTTTCCTGGGGGAGCCTTCTCCCGGACCCCGCTAGAAGCTTGTGCCTTTGGCGCTCGTTTAGGAAATCGGTCAGTATTTATCCTAGATCCGCGCCTGATCATTCTCTCTTGGAAATGAACAGTGCGCACGAGAGTGAGTAACACGCGCGGGGAAAAAGGAGATAATTTAATTTTAGAGTTTATGTTTCACCAAAAACAGTCAACGGTTTTGTCAGTAAAATCGCAATTTGTCTGAAATATAACTCCCTTGCCGTCTTTTAACTCAGTTCCTCTCGAAATCTCAATTATTATCATTATGAATATGGGCTGCAACAAAACACTGAACCCCTACTAACCCCCCTCACAGAGAGATAAATAATACATTAAGGCCGAGTTATTCTAATGAAAATTTTGTTTTTAACAGGGTCGCCTTTAAAATTCAAAAATGGCGGAAGATGGGTTGGCTGCTATGTACAGATATCATAGTTGAACTCTTGTGGTTAGGGAATACTTTCTCCTTCTGTTGAATTTAAATATATAAAAAAGCTGTAAAATTTAGAAACAGTCGAAGCTCTCGTAAGCGACCACCTTGCGGAAATTCGAAAAAGTGGTCGTAACGAGAGCTGGTCGGCTCGCTTACTAGAATGAGATCGCATGGTAAAACCAGGAGGATGGTCGCTTACGAGAGCTTCAGAAACTCGTGAATAATTTTTTAAAAAGAAATAAATGTTTTTGAGTCTCTTTATATCTGATATAGACACGCCTAAACTTTACGTCCAATGTTTTAGACCATTAGTATGGTAGGCAGTTTCTGATTAATTAAGGTATACTCTTAAAAAAAATACAAGGCTTTTTAAGGGACCTTTCCAAGCGATCACTAGATGACTAGATGCCTTGCAAGGAAAGAGAGGTCAAAGTTTGAAGTTCTTTGTCGATTATTCTTGCATAATAAACATTTTTGAGTGAGATTTTGAAGTGACAAAATCTTGCACCGATTGTACCGTGTGGCACGAAATTTTGGGAATTTTTCCAGACATTTGTCCCGCAAAAATTTACTCTAGAATAAGCTGACTGTAACTTAAATTTGATAATGGACGATAATATGAGATCACTTTCGATCGATCATCAGAACAATCAATGACCGAAGATGTTATGGTAATCGAATTAATGACAAATTAAGAAAAGCTACTGTTTTAATGGTTGTATAGGGTAAGCACATCGTTGTATTGTTTGAAAATATGTATCCATGACCATTTCACGTAGGTACTCAATAAAAACGAAAGTGTTGTCAATGATAATTTTCTCTTGAACTTTCTGAAAATCGTAACAATTTATTAACAGCAAGAAAAACCAGTCTGTCATGATCGCAAAAATTAGTTTCCCCTAAACGACAGGTAGCCCAAGCTCGAAAAATGAACATCGGCATTGTTGCGTAACAGTCGAAATATAAGGATTTGTATGGGAAAAAAACCTATCGTTTCTGTAACCTACGAAATGAAAGGATTTCAATTAAAAAAACAGCTTACCTTATTTGAAATGTGTGTTACGTCTCTCCTGTAAGGTCCACCAGCCGATTTATAGCCGTTTTATGGGTTTTTATGTAAACGGTTTTCTCTCTGTTTAACGGTTTTGTTTACATAGAGAGAAAACCGTTTACATAAAAACCCACAAAACGGCCATAAATCGACCCGTGGACCACACAGGAGAGACTTAACACACATTTTAAGTAAGGTAAGCTGTTTTTTATTGAAATCCTTTCATTTTCGTAGGTTACAGAAACGATAGGTTTTTTTCCCATACAAATCCTTATATTTCGAATGTTACGCAACAATATCGATGTTCGACGATGCTCATATTTCGAGCTTGGGCTACCTGTGTAAAAACCGGTCGGGAGGGTTAATAGTTAACAATATTAGAAACTGTGAAAAACGTTAGACGAAACTTGAGCGAAGTTTGCGACGCACCAGAAAAGCAAATTATGCATTTGATAACCAGCAATGTTAACCGTCTCAGATCGGATTCAAATCCCGTTCAAAACGACTTATAAAGACACAGGAACAAAGGCAAATAGATACATCTTATTGTTTTATTACCTAATGCAGGGTAAATACATCTAATTTTTCTATTAGCTAAGACAGCGTTCGGGTTCCCTGTGGTACTACTATAAAGGGGTGTCAGTAAAACCCCGGGGGGGGGCTCCGCATATGAAAGGGGTGGGGATGCTCGTCGCCTCGCTTAGGGGTGCAATATTTCGGATTTTGGTCTCACTTAGGGTGTTGGCAAAACGCCATCATATTTAGCCGTGAAGGTCTCGTGCACGTGAAAAAGATGTAAAAATATGTGTATTGTCTGTGTTTTAACATGGTCTCTTAGGGGTCAAAAAAAGTTTGGGCTACGCCCAGATCGGTCTCTTTTAGGAGTTTAATTCCAAATTTCCAACGAGCATCCCCACTCCTTTCATATGCGGAGTCCCCCCACCCCCGGGAGTAAAACACGGGGTCGGGGCAGGAGCCGATTACTCGGCCCCTGGTCGGGGTCTATCTTTTTTTAAGAATGCTGTTTTACGGTTAGGGTTACAGTTGCAACCCCAACCCTAAAATAGACCCCGGCCCCGGCCCCGCGTTTTTTCTCCCCGCCGCGTCTTAACTTTCTCGCAAAGAGGTGGTTTTCAGGTTCTCTGAGGAAAAATGGGGACTACTCGTAGTCTAGGTGAAGGTTTCCGAAAACATTTTTCAAACAAAATTATTGCCACGCTTGTCACACAGGGTTTGCCGTCTTCTTTCCTCTCCTTATCCCGTCCTGCTGCGTAAGCTCTCCATCTTGGATGTCTCTTTTAATACATGTGGTGCACTAAAATACACCAATCGGGGTGGGGGCGGGAAGATGTTGGTAAGGAGACTGGGATCTAATTAGATATACCAAGATGGCGGACGAAGGAGGTGGAGGCGATTCCTCAAAGAAAGCGGCTTTAGATTACTCATTCATCAAGGGGTTTGTGGTAGGAGTTGTCTTTTCACATATTAACAAGAGACTATTGCTAGGAATGTTGGTTGGGACTCTGACTGGAGCATATATACAACAAAATTATCAGGGAATTCCAAACGTCGAGGAAACGGCGAAAAAACTGGCTCAAACAATTCGAGAAGCGCTGGAGAAAAAGAAATCCTGACCACGTTGGAGGAATTTTTCAAGACTATACCACGATTTCAAATGTAAAGCAAGCAGTGGCGACTGTGACTGTGTGAATTTAGCGAATGACTGGATCTATTGTTGACGAGCAGGGCAGGCCAACATCGTGATGATGTAGAATAAGTTCTTTTTGGATGTGATAAACACCCTAGGGTAAAGACGTCCAAAGCTACGAGGAATTTTCAAAGAAATCTTTCATTGTTGTTACGAACTTTTATAGTTACATGTTAATAACTCTAAGAAGACACGAGACATGTGAAAAGCAAACCAGTTGGCTGGTGGGGAGTAGAGGATTGATGCCTCTTACATAGGGTTACCATGGTACAAAGGCTATCATACTGCAGGAGGATCCAGTTGTTCGCTTTTAACAATCATGAGACAAAAATTGCTTGGTTTTCAATAAGCAGGCTAACGACGACTGACAATGCATGTTGGCTGGCTACTTTGCTCACAGACGTTGGCTACTTTTTCCTTCAAAGTGGAAGAAGTGGAGGCAGGGAATGAAGTATTAAATTATCCTATCAAATCTTAAATTATAATTTGGTTTGCTGGACTTGAACATACCCTCTGCTTCAATTCTAAAACATTTATGAAAAGATTAATCCTTACTGTGCATTACCTATCCATTCTGATTGGAATTTTTTTATCTTTTGTACTCAATTCAGTGCCCAGAATAATAGGAATCGTATTTTAGAGCATCGAAATTTCGCACTTTTCTAGGGCAGCATGCCCCCAGACCCTTCTAGAGGAAGGACTAAAAGCCCCTTGTTGATACAGTAGGTTACTTTACCCAAACCTGCTGGCTACTTCAAGTTTTATTAAAACCCTTGCAACTATGACCTCAAGTGACTGAAACATGTTCCATGGTTTTGCCAATGAAAATATAGCAGTACAAGAAGTTTTAATTCTTGGTGTTTATCTTGAAATCTTTTTTTTTAGAATAACGTGGTCAAAAATTAGGGTGCGTATTATACACGGGCACGCATTATGCACGGGTAAATACGGTACTGCAAGTACCCATGCTGATATTACTTAAAATAAAAGAACCAAACAGTGCTACCCCAAACCTTACCTTATTGTTCAGCATACCCATCTCTTTTTTTAGTAGCAGGATATAAAGAAAAATACACTCAATGTGTTTGTAGTTTTATTTAAATTATGTCCTCAATACTTTACAATGTTGAATTTAAAAGGATACATACCTATGTACATAAATAACATGATAAATAAGCTACTGCTGACAATGATAACTTATTTGTATCATTGTTATCATTAATCACAAAAGCAGTCAATTTACACTGTGCATTGACAAACACACTTACATGGTCCATTAACTCATGCAATCCTACTGTAACAGTTGCAAGACTAAGTCAACCTAAGCCACAGGCACAAAATATTTTGTTGAGACTAAAACCAACGTCACACAACTTGATCTTATCAAGGCCAAACACGCAATGAAGGCACCTAGAAAGTACGGCCTTCCTTTTTTTTCTGCCTTATCACTCAATTCTGTCATACTCCTCCTTAAAAAAGAGATAAAAAAGGTTCTACTTGCAAAATATCAGCAAACTTGAAGGGTGGTGATTAGCAAACAAATTTCAGTGTGAATCATTGAACATTGAAGCTTTCCTATATAAAGTGGAGATATTTCAGAGGAATGCAAACTGTATTTTTTTACAACCTGAATATTTATGAAAGATTTTGCTGCTCAATTTTCTGGCTACTCTATACAAGACACATATGCTACACTGTAAAATAAATTTTTACATGTGCCAGAAAACCAGTTGCAGCAGCTTTTGGGAGTGGATAATAGCTACATAAAAAGTTTTATCTTTTTTTTCTATGAACTTGGATGATGACAGAGTTGATGATTTCCTACTCCAGTCTAGGCTGCATCGAAAAATTCCACAAGATTTTGTAAATCATAGTTGTCCAGCACTTCAAGAAGGATTGGAACCTTACTTTTCACATTCATCCCCTAGGAAAAAAGAAAAATCTCAGCACAAGTTAGGAATGTCTAAAAAATATTGTTTAACTTTACAGTATCAATGTCACGTTGAGCAAATACTACGATAGAAGAGAACAGAAATGATCAAATATTAGATAGGAAGTAATACGTGTCCTGATTGCGCATGTAAAAAAATATATGTCTAATATATCTTAAGCTTGGGATCAGAAAGTTGAATTTAAGAAGGATTACTTTTTCCATTAATATCTTACCTTAAATTTGAACTTGTCAATGTACAGATCAGTTATCATGCCTGGCATTTTGTTAAGAAAAAAAGTGATGAAAGGAGTTAACTATTACCAGTATTTGAAATTACATCCCAAAGATGGCCCCAGGGAGGAATTAATAGGCTGATTTAACAACAGAACAGGAACTTCTTTTGACAACAGGAAAGGGCGTGCAAAGGACCAAACTCGACTTCCGGTGCCTAATTTGCTGCTCTGCCATTGGTCAAGCCAGTTGTTTGATTTGCGTGAGCAGTTGTAACCTGATGCTCCCGTTCTGTTGCTAAATCAGTCTAATATTGTAACATCACAACCTTGGATAAAATATGGCTTGGTGAAAACTCTAAGGATCCAAAAAGATGTCATCGACAACTGCCCAACACTCATGACTGGAAACATAATATGATCACTAATAGATGTCAAGGATACCATAAAGTCTTTCCAAGTGGCAGGGCTGTTTCTTGTATTCAGCCTGAAGATTTTCTGCATCATCTACATAAAATAGTGATAATTAAAGATTGAAGAAGCTTAGTTATCAGTGTAAGAAAAAAGGGAATAGAGTAAACAACACAGACAGTAATGATAAGGCATGATAATCATCCCTTATTAACTAAGGATGGTTTTTACTAGTGGCAGAGTGTAAAAATGCTTAATACAATTTAAACTTATGTCTAAGTCATATGTTTTTTTAAAATTTATATTATACAAATTTTAAAAAAACATATGACTTAGACATAAGTTTGTAATTGTCGCATTGTAGTAACAGCCAAATCATTTACAGTTTCTTCTGACTTCACTATAACTCTGTTGCTTGAGTTAGTGAAAATCAAATCATAAGAGTCACTATACCAGCAAAAGCGGAAGCCAATCACAATGCTCATTCCCACATACTGTGAGTGAATTATTCATACAGTTCTACACCGACTCATTTCTTGTGATTCCAACAATCATTCTAGTTTTGAGACTTTCTACAGGTATTTCCGATGAAATTGAAGTCAAGACGATTGATTAATTGAAGAAATAAGGATTTTAGATATTTAACCAATGATCATATTGCCTTTCTGATCAAGGTTGACAATGCATCTGTCACGTGAATCTACCAAAAAGCGTAATGCACATTATTAAGAGTCATTTTGATTATTAAACCCATTACTATTTTTATTATTGTTTATTTTCCCATTTCTGTCCTCAGGACTGTAATCCCTCAATCTCGTTAGTAGCATTACCAAGTAAAAAAAATGTTCTAGATATGCAAGGATTGGAAAACCCCATGATTTGATGGAAAACACACTGTGTAAACAACATCCGCAGTTACCTACAGAGAGGCTCAGTTTTAAAGTGACACAGTCATAGGTGATGTAAAATCGTTAAGATTTGATTTTTATAAGATCATTATTGAGCACTGTACTTCTTATTATGACTCTTCACTCTGTCATTAGCAAAACCAGCTTTAAGTAATCCTATAATCAGTTTTTGGCAAAATTTTGATCATAAATCACACATTCTTACCCAGAATCTGTTGATATTCTGGAGCAAAAAATCCAATGTCACTTTCATGCATCTGTAGTTCCTAAAAAGGATACAAATGACTATACAATCATGCTGTTTTTTATTTGGCTTTAACAATACTTTTGCCCCAAGAAACTGAAATTTTGAGCCCTCTTCCAGATGAAACTGCTCTAAAACCACATGCTTCACGGCAGACATACCTATATCGCCCATATATGACATTACCTTTTCCACAGGACTTGGATACCCTTTGACAAGGTAAAAGGTAAAGGCACACACAAGCCAAGGGAGCAAAATAATGACCAGAGCTTATCCTGGTTTCCTTTAACTTGAAGCATGCCTAGGAGTATTGCTACTCCCCCTGGACGGGATGCTAGTCCATCACAGGGTTAGCAGTATTTAGCTGGTACCCATTTAAACACCTGGGTGAAGAGAGACAAAGTGGAGTAAAGTTCCTTGTCTAGGGAAACAATGCAACGGGCGAGGCTGCTTGAACCCTGGACCTCCAGTTTTGGAGTTTGAGGTGTTAACTGCTCGGCCAGACACCCCTCAACACATTATTTCAAAATTACCACACAGCTACATGCAAACACCAACCTTAAGACCCTCTATTAGCTGGACCTTCTTGGCCAACAGTAGCTGATATTCCAGTTTGGGATGTATTAGGTTAAGTGTGTGGACAACAGAATCTTCATTAAGATCTACAAAATAACAAGAAAAATTAGCAGAAGCAGAAAAGCCCTCAAATCCACAACTTTAATCGGGTTGTACATACAAAAGCCCACATGGTCAGAATAGGAGTGTTATAGACGCAGTTGTCTCACTTAAAATTTCCACTTTCAGTGGCACTCTCCCTGAGTATGTGGACACTTTAAAAATAACATTCACACTTTCTTTTAACCATGTTTCAAACAACTACATTCTATCAATACGAAAATAACAACATCACAGAAGTTTAAGAATTAATTGTTAAATAAAAGTTGTTTTAATATACAGTAAGTGGACAAACCATAAGATATGTTAAGGTTAATCTTTCTCTTTGTTGCTTCTTTGCTAAGAACGTCCTTGAGAATAGATATTGTTGAAATATTGTCTGATTTAAAGATGGCTTCTCCTTTCCTATAAATAATCACAGAATCATATAAAAATTATTTATTCTTGTCAGCATTGTTGTTGTTGTTGTTGTTATATTATTTCTAACAAAATTATTATAATAATAAAATCAGTAAAATCAAGTGTCAAAATCTTCTAGAAGAGCTTAAGCGCTCAAAGACACTTGGGAGATTGTTCCATTTCTTCACTGTGTGATATGCAAGTTTCTATTTATTTGTCTCAGTTGCATCATGAAAAGTACTTAACAATACTGTACTTACTTGTATTGGCAGTCCAACTGAGTGTCAAGGAATGTCGACAGAAAATGAAAACTGACTTGCTCTCCCGCTGGAGTTCTACAAAAACAACAGCAGTTGGTAATAAGGAATTCTAGCCATTTCGGAGGTTTGGAAATCAGAACAAAGAAGCACTTTTAAAGTTATTTTAAAATATTGTGAGTGTTCATCTAGCTGGTAGTTAAACCCAGGGCTACCTTCCACTCCTCAGTCTGGTATTGAGCTAACCAGGTCAAATTCTAATAGTATTAATTAAAAGTACATTTATTAATCACAAACAAACCTGTCAGGAACCTCGGGAAGGCAGAAGCAAACCCATGAATGAACTTCAGCGAGACTGAAATGACCCATTAACTTCAGCATGTTCATTGGCCTGATAAGTAAAAATATTAACAGTCAATATATATTTCTTAACTATTGTTAGTTTATTTGAGCACTCAAAAATAAGTCGGAGCTACGATAAAGGGTTGGCACTGCATGTCTTTCTGTGTGAAAGGTTCCATTTTCGATTCCCAGGTGTGATCTCAAATCCTTGTTTTGACTTCTTTCGTTTCAGTGTAGCTTTAAGTACAGTGTACCTTTAAATACCCGTAAAACAGAGCACCGATGGAGAGAGGGAGTAAAATGAACATACTGCCACGGGGCCTCAGGTAATAGTCAGATGATGACTATTTCAATTACCAGCTTGAAACAGGTATCCTTTTATTCTTTCTAGTACCCTTTGTCCTACTGCTTGTAATAATTTTACTTAAAAAACAAGTGGGTGCTTCTAAATACTCCCTTACTACAATCCTGTGCAAAAGCAAGGCCCAAACATATTACAACAGGGAAAACTGATAGCTACTTTTTTGTGTCCAGCCTTCTACTTCCTGACACATAATTTATTACTGGAATGACTGGCATCTTTCTTCATCGCATATAAAAAAAAAGCTCAAACAAACATACTAACTAAAATCTGAAATGTAATACCAATTGTGAACTTCGAAAAGATGATTGTTGGATCAGACAAATAATAAGAGAATTTCCTTGACTCTAAATAATAAAGAGACTTTCTGACACTTTTCTGATGTCTTACTTTGAATCATCAAACACATGTGTTCTTTGGTGTAATGACAGAGGTTTGATGCTGTACTGACGAACTTGACAGCTTTTGGGTTGGATCCTTGGTGTAATATATGCTTGCAAAGTGCCATACTGCCCTTCAATTGACCTGATCTGAATAAAAAGTATAATACACATAACGGAACTGTCCATTATAGTCGTTTCGAGGACAGCGCAAAGAGAGATCCACCATACTCTTGAAGACTGAATGTATTGGGTTCCAGGCCAATGCAAACCTTTTTGCCCATAATAGGTGCCAAAGAAAAAATTATCAACGTTAAAGAAATTTAATTTTTTCTTGCAAAATTCTACCCAATAAACGGTACTATTCAAACTTTCTAACACAAAGGTTTTATTTCTGTAGTAGTATCATACAATGATGATGCTACTATTGAAATAAAACCTCATTTTATGACTTTATCCTCAGCTCTAAAGGTTCTTAGAATGACAGATAATCTTGCCATAGCATGCAGTCTAAAAGTAAATACATGTATTCTACAATAGGACCAGAATCCTAGAGTAATTTCACTAGATGGAGCTATGGCCAATTTCCCAAAACACTAACATGGAAAGATAATACATTGTAATATTAAAGGCCACCTTATTCTATCATCAAAATAATTAATTTCCTAACTACCTTTAATTCCAATCTTGTAGTATTTGCCTGACATCGGTAAGTTGCTAAGAGAAAGTTACCATTCTGAAACAAAATGTACATGTATAAACAGAAACAAATTACATAAATCTAGACCTTCAACACATTAAAGAAAGGGCGAAACCATTCATTCTACATCAACAATAGAAAAGTGTTTGGAGAATAATAGCACAAACCTCAATATCACAAGCACTGTAGCTGACCACTGCTGAGTTTTTATCAACATCCAAAAGATCAATGGGAACATCACTCTATTGATAGAACAAAAAACACTTTGATCAATAGCTAATTTCTCCCTAGAATTTAAGCCATTTTTTAAATTTACATATTAAAGCGAAGGTACAATAATTATTGTGTAATAAACATGTGATTGTGGTTGGTGAATGATAAAGGACAAGACTGGCCTAGATGCAGAGACCCTAGTTTAAAAGTACAAGACTTTGCAGCAAACATTTACAACTCAGAGACGAGAGAAACCTACAAAAACAACACTATTTAGAGACTCGTCACAGATACTTAAAAAATTTCAAAATCAGATCATTATATTTTCCCAGTACCTAGTGAATAATATAAATTGTACCTTGCCTGGTTCCTCAGTCTTAACTATTTCTTGTGGCCTATGAAATTTGGGTCAATGAACAAATCTCCCACTTAATGCCACAGTTACATTGCCAAAATGCATTGACCAAGAAGATCTCAGAAGATGCAAATATACAGGGACTATGCAAAGTGGTACCCAGAAAATTGTGGTCCCCTGATATGATTATTAAATTATAATAATCAGCATTCTACAGCTTTATATACATGTAATATAAGAAACAAATTATTCACCCACAAACCTGCAATAAGACATTATCAATTGGAACCTGCACTTCAATACTCAGTGTGTAACTTGCATCATCTCTATTCAAGGCAAATTTGTCATTGATTGCAAACTGAGGAATTGCTGACAAGGCATTGGCTGAATGTGCCGTAAACTGGTATTTTTCTCGTTCTTTCAACACCTTCTGCTGAAGGGTCTCTATTTCCAGTCTGAAAATAAATCATCTTCCTCTCAGTTATGGCATTGCTTATTGAAATACATTTCCTATTCTTAAGTCCAGTGTGCTTCTTATACGTTGTATTTTAAAATTAATTACTAAAATGTAAATTAATTTACATATCAGAGAAACCTACATACTGTAGCCTCCTAATAATATTTATTTTGCTACTTTTGGGTATACAATTATTGAACTCACATGTATATTATTCTGCGTAGTGCTGTAAAATAAATCAGAATGACAGGAGTAACTGTAATAACTCCTTCTTTGCCCCTTCCCCTACCCAGCCCCCTTTTATAATATTTCATAACAGTGACAACTTCACATAACTCACTGTAAATCATTTGAGACAGTGATGAATTCTTTTAGTTTAGTGTGATGCAATATGCCACAAGGAGAGCACACCTCAGCTTTTTAGCCCCAGATGGACATAACACCCAAGTGAAAACTTTGAAAACTATCTAAACATCTTATAATATGAAGGCCAAAGGGACGCACCCACCATCCAGAGGTCTTGACATCATGGAGACAAGAAAATGTGTATGTGGCTACTGATATCGTTGGGGTCATAAGAACTATCTACAACAAAGAGGTGTCCATAGTAGAAGTGCCGTTTACAAGAGGTTTGACTGCATTTTGGCTTGTATGTTAAACTAACCTCAGGTTGTCAATTCTGGCCTGCACTTCTTCACTGATTGGTTCCTGGGCTGCAGTGGTGGGCCCTGCCTCTTTCTGCTGTGGTTCTGTTGTCAGACCTAACACCCACCCAGCATATGTGGCAGCTATAACCTCATCATAACCAGATGAACTCACACATCCACCACAAATAGAAGTAATGCTTTCACTCATGGCCTGAAGTCAAATCAGTTCAGTTAGTTTGTATGCTACATTACAATGATTTCAAAGAAATCCCATGTTTTTTATTTCCTTGATTAAGTAAATTTAGGTGCCTCCTTTTTTCACCTTTAGCACCCCAGATTGAGGAACAAAAATCACATCCATGACTGGCCATTCACAAAACCTGGATCATCACCTACGTGAGGCACAGAGGTTGATCTAGTCCAGTTCTGCCCCCTGCCCTCCCCCCCCCTCTCTCTCTCCCCCTCTCCCTCTCAGTCATGTAATGCCTCCCTCTCCCAGGGTTGCATGACAGAGAGAGAGGGGCCAGAACTAGGACTTTAAGGGCTGATCCAATGATTGTCTTGGGGAGGGACAATGAAGTCTTTTCAATGACTTGACTTGCGATACCTGTTTAAATCTATGGACTGGCTCATCCATTTCATCAAAGCCATAAACTTCAACTAAGCCATCATCACGTCCAACAAGCACATCAGGCACACCATCAGCAGTTATATCAAATGTCTCTAAAGCCAGCACACCTGTGAAATAAATGCAGAATAAAATAATCTCTTTGTGTTGCCCAAGAGTATACATAATATAATATGTACCTCACGGGTCTATACCAGTTTGCTAAAAATTAATGATCTTTAATATTCAATTTAAAAAACAAAATATACAGTGTACCTGTAATAGGAATGCCAACAAAACACTACCTACCTCCACTTCGTTTGTCATTTGGAATTTCCCACTTGTGATTAGGTGAATGCCTGCAAATGAGAGACAAACAAACAACATTAATTTTTTTTTGGTGTTCCATTTAATCTTGTGGTGGCCAGACAAAGATTCAAGTAACACAACACACAAAGCTTTGGTGGGCAAAATTGGGCAGGGAATTTAAGCAAGCAAGACTTGGATAGAAAATCCTAAAAAGCTGACAGTACAATTTTTGAAAAAACTGTTGGTTTATTAAGAAAGCCAGTTTAATAAGCTTTAATTTGATGTAGGGTTTAGGTATCTGAAGTTTTACTGGAACACACTTCACATTTCGTGGCGAGACACCCCTGAGGGTATCCAGTAACCTTAAGATAATATGTGACCCTCCACGGGATTTCAGGGAATAAGGTGAACGCACGCACACGGCACGTTATAACACGCTCGCACGCTAATGGCATGACACGCTCACCGTGTGGATATGCGCATAAAAACAATTGATACTGGGAAGCGTGTTCGTAACCATTGTTCATATCTGGGTAACACGGTAGAGCTTTGTTTTTATAACACGCTATGTTCCTTTGTTTCCTTAACACGGTAGAATTCTTAACACACTATTATATATATCTTAACTTGTACAACTCAGCTTACATCGTTACTTCTGTTTGTCAGCTTCTTCTTTGAGAATGGTTTTGTTCAAGTATATTACTCACAGAATATAAGCGAAAATGAAGAAAATCTACCGTCCTATTCGAAAGTTTTAATAAAAAAAAAGAAAACATTACCGCAAATCACGGCTCTTTCCCTCAGGATTCTCACAATACAGTGATTCTATTTCTAGTTGCAATTCTCAGATTACATTCTTACCAAATTTGCATGAAGCAAACGTGAGTGATAGGTAACGCAGCACTATCCATTTGAATGAGAAGAGCGCGAATTACACGGGCTTCTTTGATTCTCTGTGTTTTTTACGTAGAACAAGTCGTTGGCAAAAAAATATTTCGTTTGCATGTAAACATGCGGAGAGCAATAGTGTTCGGGGTTCTTTTGAAACATTTTGTTTACATAGGATATCTTAAGATTAGATTTTTCGTCTGATAAGGGATCGTGGACGCTGAAAAGCTCATAGTCTGCTACATCGGAAAAAAAATTCACTCCATAATCGGCGCTTGTGTACGCGTGTTGTTTTAAAAAGGGCAAAATGAGAGTTTAAAGCTGATAAACTTGTGCAAATGAAGTCAAACAAATCTTGAAAACATTGAGTTAAATGACCGCTCCAACAAGTGAATTTTTTTAATGAATAGCGTAACTCGTCTCCCATGCATGTCATTCGACAGAAAATTCAAAGGAATGCCAGAATACAGATGACCAAGCCGTTCCAAAGGCCTGATGTCTTCAACAAACGGGTGACCAAGTCGTTTGAACGGTTTAATGTTTCTAACAAACGCGTAAGTAAGTCGTTCGAACGGATTGATGTTTCTAACTAACGGGTGACGAAGCCATTCGAACAGGTTGTTTCTAGTGAACGGAAGACAAATGCGTTCGAACGGTTAACACAAACCGCTTGTAAACGGAAAGCCGTTTGAAAACGGAAAGTCATTAGTGTACGTTTTCGCGTGTAAGGTCACAAATATCAAAAGTCTCATAATGGCTGTAATAACAAGACGTTTCGGGTGTATAACCTTTATAGTAGCGCGCGCATATATGCAATTCTCAGTTTCAATAAAGCTGAAATTGATAGTCCGTTCGGTTGAACAGTTCCTTGCTGGATAATCCCTCACTTGTCAAAGGAAGTAGAAGAAGGATTCGCTTTGCATCATACACGTTCGCTCTCATACTAAAGCTTACGCTTGTCAAAATTATATGCATTTGTGCTTGCTACCTTCACAAGTTTACGATTTTAAGACCAGAGGACATTGCTCTCGTTCGGCCCGTGTTTGGCAAGCTGTTTTAAAAAAACGAGGAATTCAAAATTAAAGGAAGAACTCAAACGCAGGATTAAATAATCGGACAACAAGTCGAGACATTCCATTCTGTTCGTTGATTCATTGATCGATGTTAAACTGGATATTGACAACTAGAATCCTATTGGTGAGCTAATAGAAAGCCTTACAGCTTACGACGTAGTGCTTGTAGAAATCGAAAGCAACTTTAACTTCAAAAAGCGAGCTATACATTTGACACGGTGATCGTGTTATACCGTGCAAAGTTGGAAGCAAGATCTTAACAAGTTCCTTTGTCTCTACTGTGCGAAGGAAGACAATGGCTGTGATGTTAATGAGGTAAGTAACTAACACGCAGCTAACGTGTTAAAAGCTAGTTCTTTTGTTTTAGCGTGCGAGCGTGCCGTGTGCGTGCGTTCACCTTATTCCCTGAAATCCCGTGGAGGGTCACATATTCTAAGAAACTGCCTACCTCCAGACCCCTCCGCAATGCAACATTAACACTAAATTCTTTCTAAGGGCAAAATATTGGCTTAGGGGAGGGGTGGCTGGGCATGAGTTTCCCAGAATGTTATTTTGATACAAACTCTTACCGTCCTAACTGAATCAAGCCTATTTTGCCATCAGATGTTCCATATAGAACCTCTTCTCCAGATACACCTAAAATGGATTTAATTCTTGTTACAGGGGCACCCAACGAGCATATATTTCAAAACCACTTAAACATAGCATTGTTGAACGTATTTTAGTATTTAAACGGTAGATATAGGCATATTTTTATCCCCTAAAAATTTTTCATCTGTTCGGATTTCCTTGCTGAAAGTCTAGTGATCCAAAAATTATAGGGATCAAAACTTACCTTTTCGAAAATTTCAGCCAGGAAAAGGGCTCCCGAAAATTCTAGGTGACCTTTTTAGGGTAAAAATCCATTAAAAATGGGCAAATATCCCTTGTAGAACCAGACATATGCAAAACCTATGCTCATGCTATTTGTTTACTATGTTGGACTATGTTTCAGCTATGTTATGTTCACTACTGCCTATGTATTAACTATGTAACACACCAAACAACATAGTCCAAAGTATGCAAAATCTATGTTGAAACTATGTTTAGGCTATTTGAAAAGCACATAGCTTTTGAATACCTATGCAAATACTATTCAAAATCTTTTCATAGTCTTGACATAGCTGTGAAATAGTTAAATCGTGACATTTGAACGTGTATTTCGTTACCTTTCATGTAATTCGTTACCTGGTCAGCGGTCATTTATGTAATGCTTACGTCACAAGAACAGAACCTTTTTCTGCCTCGCTCTCGTTACTTTTATGACCGCCATGTTGTGTTAATGTTGTCTGAAATATACATGTAACTACATTGAGTTCTCTGTCGTATTTACTGCTTCCCCACATTTTTGGTGCCGAGACCAGGATGGAAGAGTTACCGAAACTGCTAGCGTCAAGAAGAGCTCACAAAGCACATTTAACCAAACTAAGACAGAAAATCGATGACACTGCAGAAGGAACAATAGCCGACAACGGAATTGTACTACTCAAGTCTCTCGTGGAGCAGTTAAAGCAAAAGAGACAAACCCTCAAGGAACTTAACGATAAGATAGCAGTTTTACTGGAAACTCCTGAGGAACTCGAAGCAGAAATACTCGATGCAGAGGAACTAGACAGCCTTATCGTGGAGAAGGTTTGCCTCACCGACAATTTAATTGAGCTCGCCAAAAGAAACCTCGACCAGTACGTGTTGTCTCACAGTCCCGGGAATATCAGTACTCCGTCAAGTTCACCGCAAAAGGGACAAACAAATCAGCAACCCATTCCATCTACGTCGCAAACGGAACAAGAAAATCAACAATCCAATTCCCCACCTTCGACTGGAACGTCAGGTAGCGATTTTCAAAGTAACACAGCCGCTTCAGCAGAGAATCCCCAATTACACCACCGATTACTCCGATTACACCACCGCCGGTGAGTACATTCCAAACTAATCGTTTACCTAAACTTGTACTGCCATCGTTTAATGGGAACCCGCTTGAATGGCAATCGTTTTGGGACGCCTTTCAGTCTGCAGTACACGATAACTCTTCGATCAGTGATGTCCAAAGGTTCAATTATTTGAGAGCACAGTTACGCGACGGAGCTGAAAGAGTCATTGCCGGGTTGCCATTAACCAGTGCCAATTACGCTAAGAGCATCCAGTTATTGAAAGATAGATTCGCTCAACCCCACAAGATTATCAATGCACACATGGAGGCACTGCTCAACCTTCCATCACCCACTGATCATTTAAGTAGTTTGAGGCTTTTCTATGACTCAGTTGAAACACACATCAGGGGACTTGAGTCACTAGGGAAGAAAACAGAAACGTATGGAGATATTCTTGTTCCCATCATTCAGAAGAAGTTACCTAATGGAATTAAGAGGAATCTAGCAAGGCAAAATGGAAACAAGGAGTGGCAGCTTGACAACTTACGTAAGGCAATCTTGAACGAAATTGAAATCTTAGAAGCAGGTCAGAACAGTTCTAGCGATTATGAACTCAGTAGCAACTCAACAACTGCTGCTACTGCTGCATTTCTCACGACTTCAAAGCCACCTACACCTGTTCTCCCTCCTCCCACTGATCGGCGCCCTACCAAGCGAACATGCCTTTTCTGTAAGGGCGAACACAGTTCAAATGATTGTAATGTTGTAACAGACAAGGGAAGGAGATACTCCATTGTACGTGATGCAAGGGTATGCTTTAACTGTCTTAATCGTCATTCAGTATCTAAATGCAAGTCACGGAACAGATGTAAGGTGTGCCATCGAAAGCATCATACCAGTCTTTGCCAAAATGCAGAATCAACTCCCTAGTGTCATCCACTGAACCGCCAACTACAAACAAGGCTCAATGTACACCCACCACAGACAAGACTACAGCACCTTCAGTCTCATCCTACCACATTGGTGATACTAGCAGACACACCCCGTTCTACTGAAAACAGCCGTTGCTTCTGTTGGTAGTCACAACAACCACATCAGTGCACACATTTTATTTGATGAAGGGTCTCAACGCTCCTTCATTACTTCAGATGTAGCGACCAAACTTGATCTGAAACCAGAAATGCAAGAGACCATATCCCTGTCAACCTTTGGTGGGAACACATCATCCGTTAAACGCATTGACACTGCCACCGTTTTTGTTGAAACCGCTCAAGAGGAGAACATTCCCATTCGCGTGATCATTGTACCAACAATAGCTGCCCCCCTCACTACTTACACTGGTGCCAATGTAAGGGAACTACCACACTTAAAGGGACTGTCATTAGCACAAAACGTTGATGATTCACCTTTCACAGTTGATATTCTAATCGGTGCAGATCATTATTGGGACATAGTGGAAAACGAAGTTGTCAAGGGTCCAGGTCCCACAGCAGCCAAATCAAAGATAGGATACCTCCTTTCGGGCCCCCTCTCAACAGTAACCATTCAGAGAACCTAAACACGTCTATTTTAAATGTTGTGACTGAGCATCATCAAGAACAATTTGATTTGGAACGTTTCTGGCGGATTGAATCAGTTGGTGTTCAGCCAAGCTCATCAGAAGAAACGGTTGACTTTCTGAAGTACTATCAAAACTCGTCTATCATGTTGGAGGATGGCCGGTACAGTGCAAAGCTACCCTGGCGACCAGAACATCCCCCTCTACCATCAAATGCAGAAATCACTAAGCAGAGAACCCGCTCCATGGTCAGAAAACTAGCTGAAGATCCTAATAAATTACGCATGTACAATGACATCATCCAAGAACAACAATCTCGCGATTTTATCGAAAGAGTGGACAATCCAGAAACAACCAACGGGTGTGTCATTACATACCTCATCACGCTGTTCTCAAGGACTCTACCACAACTCCTCTACGCATTGTGTACGACTGCAGCTTCAAACGAGGTGAACAACCCAGCTTGAATGATTGCTTACAGCCAGGTCCTCCACTTCTCAATGATCTTACTGGTATACTTCTACGCTTCCGTCTCCACCAGTATGCTATAACTGCAGACATTGAAAAGGCATTTTACATGTAAACCTAGACCAAGCTGATCGAGATGCCACGCGCTTCTACTGGCTATCTAACACGGATGACCCGGAGAGTGAATTCATTGTCTACCGATTCAAGTCTGTCATGTTTGGTGCCACAAGTTCCCCTTTCATCTTAAATGCCACTCTCAATAAGCACCTCACACAGTCTACAGACCAAGTCAGCATGGATATGTTAAGGAATCTGTATGTGGATGATCTCGCCTCGGGAACAAACGATGATGATTCAGCAGTCAACTATTACCAAGATGCCAGGAACAAAATGTCACCGGTGGGCTTCAATCTCAGGTCATGGAGTTCAAACAGTCCTGGTGTTCAACATATTGCAGCCAAAAATCAAATCCTCGACACTAGTCCAACTAAAAAAAGTACTTGGCATGGTATGGGACATAACTTCAGACACGCTACGATTCTCATGTAAACAGGCAACCTCTACCCCCCGTTGTCAACCAAGAGAGAGGTGTTACAAGAAACAGCAAAAGTCTTTGATCCACTCGGCTTACTTCAACCAGTCACCGTTGCGGCTAAGATTCTAATACAAGAACTGTGGAAGGAAGGGATTGATTGGGACGAGCCCCTTCCACCTTCTCTTGATCAAAAATGGCGTGCTGTAGCAAAGGAGATTGGAGATGCAACCAAACTTGAGTTCCCACGTCGCTACTTCTCTTCTAATGTCTCTGTCGATAGCAGCGATACAGAACTACATGTTTTCGCTGATGCAAGCCAGAAAGCCTATGGAGCTGCTGCTTACTTAGTACGTGGAAACCAGTCATCGTTAGCTATGGCGAAGTCGCGTGTTGCTCCGACAAGGAAGAAACTCACCCTTCCAGAATTGGAACTTATGGCAACTCTAACAGCCGCACGTTTAGCTTCATATCTTCAAGAACAACTGCCAGTTACAAGAGTCACATTGTGGTCTGACAGCCAAATTGTTCTCCACTGGCTCAAAAGCACCAAGTTGTTGAAGCCATTCGTCAACACTCGCATCCAAGAAGTAAAGAAGCTGACATCAACTTCAAACTGGAAGTACTGCCCTACAACTGAAAACCCCTCCGATCTTCTCACAAGAGGGATAACAGCACATCAACTAGAGATTTCCTTGCTGTGGAAACATGGTCCCACATGGTTACCAAACAGATCCCAGTGGCCTTCATGGCCTACGACAGAGGTTCTTCACTTATCAGCAACTGAAACCTCTCCTGGTGGGTCTACCACAGACGGCACAGTCCCAGTTCAACAGCAAGGCCTTCATCGCCTGATCAATCCATCGGATTTCAGCAGTTTACCAAAGCTTCTACGTGTTACAGCCTATGTTTTCAGATTTGTAAAACTTCTCCAGAAGAAACTTAGTCAACAAGGCCCAATTACAGCCATGGAATATGATCATGCCATGACAGAATGGGTGAAGAATCGTCAATCTGTTGTCTTTCATGCTGAAGTTAACAACCTCCTCTCGAAGTCGCGACACCGTACAACTTTGGTACGTCAACTTCGCCTTTTCCTTGATGATGGTGGTCTTCTACGCTGTGGCGGAAGGATACACAACGCACCCTTAAGTGGCAACACCAAGTTTCCTCTGCTACTTCCAAGCAAAGACCATTTCACAGATCTTGTAATTCACTCCACCCATGTCAAACAGCTTCATGCAGGTGTCAACTCAACACTCACCGCCCTACGTCAAACTTATTGGGTTCCTTCTGGCCGACAACGCGTCAAAACTTTAATTGACAAATGCGTAACCTGCAGAAAGGTCTCAGGAACAGCCTACAATACACCAGACCCACCACCCCTTCCCAAGTCAAGAATACAACAAACACAACCCTTTGAAGTCACTGGGGTGGACTACACCGGAGCTCTGTATGTTCGAAATGCTGGAATCGAAACAAAGGTCTACATATGTCTGTTTACTTGTGCAACAACCAGGGCTATTCATCTTGAAGTTGTCGAAGACTTGACCGTTGAAGCCTTCTTACTAGCCTTTCGCAGATTTGCAAGTCGGAAATCTCTTCCAAGGAAACTAATATCTGACAATGCCTCAACATTTGTATCAGCGAACAATGAACTAAAGGAATTGTTTCAATCTCGTGCGCTCAAGGAAACACTAGCAAGGGAAGGCATTGAATGGCTATTCATCCCCAAGAAGGCGCCTTGGTACGGCGGGTTTTGGGAACGCCTCATCGGTCTCACCAAATCCACCATCAAGAAGGTACTCGGCAGAGCTGCAGTCAACCTGTGCACTCTTCAGACAATTGTTGTTGAAGTAGAGGCAATTCTAAACGATCGTCCCCAACCTACGTTTCCTCAGACATTAAGGATGAGGAAGCATTAACCCCTGCACATCTACTTTATGGCCGACGAATTACGTCATTACCACATCCACCAGTAGAAAGTGACGAAGTGAGTGATCCCACCTACCAAACAAGTACAGATTTACTAAGAAGGGCAAAACGTGTCACCTTACTGATCCAACACTTTTGGCAACGATGGCGTCATGAGTACCTTACCTCCCTCCGAGAGTTCCACAAAGGTTCAGGAATCAACACAGAATCCGTGAAGGCTGGTGATGTAGTTCTAATCCATGATGATAGCCCTAGAGTAAACTGGAAACTAGCACTTGTCACATCCATTAACAGAGGTCGCGATGGACTTGTGCGTTCCGCAAATTTACGCACCGCCAATGGAACAACAAACCGTCCCATAACAAGATTACACCCTCTAGAAGTTCACGCCAAGGAAGCACAGTGTTGCACAGAGGATCAAGCAACCGCAGTAGAAACTCCAACCCCTGTGAGGAGACCACAAAGAGATGCAGCACGACGAGCAATAAGGAGAATTGCAGATTGGGCCAAGGACATTCGCGCCCCCTCCCCCCCGGAGGATGTGAAATAGTTAAATCGTGACATTTGAACGTGTATTTCGTTACCTTTCATGTAATTCGTTACCTGGTCAGCGGTCATTTATGTAATGCTTACGTCACAAGAACAGAACCTTTTTCTGCCTCGCTCTCGTTACTTTTATGACCGCCATGTTGTGTTAATGTTGTCTGAAATATACATGTAACTACATTGAGTTCTCTGTCGTATTTACTGCTTCCCCACAATAGCTATGTATTTACTATGCAATAGAAAGTTCAGCTTTTCCTTCCGATTAGCATCCTATGTATTCACTATGCATCAAAGTAAAATAGCTTTTACATAGCATTTCGATCTTCACTTTTATTTCCAACAAGTTTCTTAGCTTTAACATAGTGCTATGTATATTCTATGCTATGCGATGAAACATATTTGCAGCCTATGTATTCACTATGTGACATTTTCATTTAGCTTTATCATGAGATAAAGGCTACATAGCTTTTACATAAACATATTTTTTCCTATGTCACTCATATGAAAAATATATGTAGTCTATGCGTTTCCTATGTGATATTCCAACATAGCTTTTAACTGACTAGGCATGTTGATGGTAGCGCTTACAGAAGGCTAACCATACTTCCAAAGTAAAAAGAAGTGTTTTAAACTAAAACACTGAAAAATCATGTACTATAATTTTTTTTTGTGCTTCCAGATAGTTTCTTAGTGAGAAGACTTTTGTTAAACATTGAATAGCTACATCCATCATTCCTGTCTTAACTTTCCTTTCTAGCTTTTCCATAGAGTTCTTCACTTGAAATGATACTTCCATGCATCATTTTCTTCTTTTACATTGGGTTCGATCCTTCGTCTTGATTGTGGACGTCTCCTGAATATAACTGCATGGTCAAAACTGCGAAACGCTACCTGCCTAGGTGGATGTTTGTCAGCCATTTTGTTTCCACTAGTTCCCAGGGAAGCCCGTGAGTTCAACACATGCGTATTTTGCGTTTTATCGTCACGTGGGCCTTTTCAACCAATGAAAAGGTGTGAAAATTGTCTGTTTCCACGCGGGCGCTTTCAAGTCAAAGAAGACGAGCTGTATAAGCGTGGTTGTTTACAAGAAGACGCTTCTTTTTACTTCAATTTACAGTCTTTTTCCTGCCAGGTTCAACAAAAAGTATTCCTAACGTTGGTAAGTGATGTTTTTCTCAATTAAGTTTCGATTTGCCTGTGTTGTCTCCCCTTTTCGCGTATCTGAACAAGGATCGGTCGATCACGCTTTGATACTCCTTCGTTTCAGTTCTAAAACGTCAGGTTGTTTTTATGTTCATTTGCCTTAAAATCTCCACTTTTCTGTTTGCAGATACTTATTCGTTGCAGTCAAAAGGAAACTGTATGGCACTGAAGAGCACGATATCAGTAAAAGTCTACACGATAAGCAAACTTAAACTTGGGGTTTCGATTCTGAAACCTCCATGAAAATACTGCATTTGTGTTACTATTAGTGTTCGTGGTATTATATTGCCATAATTTTTCAATTTTTCGTTTCAAAACCTATTTCTTACCAATGTAAAAGGTATTCTAATTCATATTTTTACACTATTTTTACTATTTTGGTGATTTTTACGAACGTATTTTAAACACTACATTTGCTTAAGCAGATCGAAACCTACATACATAAGAGACTATGTCAATTCTATGTAATTTCAGTTTGAACTCTAGTTAAAGCTTGTGTATGTGATATGTTTTACCTATTCAAATACTATTAAAATCCTATTTTAAACCTATGCAAAGACTATTTGTTCTGTGTTTTCCTTATTTTAATGCTATGCAAAGTATATGTCACCTTTAAAAAGGCTATGTTTTTCATATGTTTTTTCTATTTCTAGGCTATCTAAATTCTAGGCAAACCCTATTCAAAAGCTATTTAATCGACTGTTCCCTGTTCCATTTTTCTATGTAAACTCTATTTCAGTCCTATGTGAAGGCTATTTATTTTCTATGTTTTTTCTATGAGGTTGACTATGAAGTCTAAAATCTCTTTCCACAAGCTAAGTAAACTGTATGTATAGGCTATGTGGAAACTATGTCATTTCTTCCTTTATTCCTACCTTTAAAAACTGCATAGCTTTTAAGTAGGTTCCGTTTGACTAGCGAAAACATAGCATTTTCGATACAAAAAACATAGTCCTGGCATAGAAACAACATAGGATCTGGTTAAAGCAATGTATGAGTGATTAACATAGGTTTTGCATAGCTTTGTGACATAGCATTTGCATAGATTCTACATAGTGTCTGATTCTACAAGGGATACCACTTTTTAGATGTTCGAAAATCCTAGGAGAGGCAGGCAAGCAAGAAATTTTACAACTTGAATGTTTCGAAAATCCTAGATCTCAAATCGTCTTCCGAACAGATATTTTCCGAAAATTGACGTTGGGTGCCCCTGTTGTAAGTATAATATCTACATGTGTCATGTAAAATCATTTGACAGCCTCAAGTTACAAAAACCTGTTAACAGCAGAACATTGTACCTTATTGATATGTGAACCAACTAAATCACAAAAGCAGCGACAGTATACAATATAATTATGGCTAGCTTATGTGTTCTTATCTTAACTGAAATACAGTTTTAAAACAAATTTCCTTGGTTATCTTCAATTAATAAGCAATGAATTGACCTACTGAAATTAAATTCAAATTAGTCCTACCTCCACTTCCATTGTACAGAGCGAGGACTTGAGGAGGACCCGCAACTTCAACTTCATACAACAAATCAGAATCCTAAATATCACGAAGGTAAGAAAGAGATGCTGATTAATCTACAGGAAATTGTGTTTTCACACAACCTTGGGTCCCCTGTGTGTGTAGGTGATAGGGTTTTTTTTTTAATGCAAACCTTTTCTTACTTTGATGCTTATTGTTCATAGGAATTTTTCATGGTACGATTAATTATTTTTAATTTTTGTAAAGTAATAATCTAGCTCCACACTTGTATTAGTTTTTGCTAAATCGGAAAAAACATTGTAAAAATATTAATTACCTGTAGAACTCTCAGGACCCTGTCTTGACAAGCCAAGACTGGAACTAGTACATCGACGCTTCTAAAATGTACAATACATGTACAGTAAGTATGACAGTCTGTAACCTCACATAATACATAACGGAACCTCCAAAAAATAAAGCAGATATGTTTGGATATAATTATAATTAAAGGATAGGTGTCCCCTGATGGAGATAAACAACAAAAATTTAATATAGTTATACACTGACAATGTAAGATGTTCTTTGTCATGAAGAGAGATTACTGATTTAAATAATGATAAGTAAAAAATTACATAAAATCTAATATTTACTTACAATTTGAGTTTTATTATTTAAGGCCAAAACATGTCTGAGGCTATGCCCAGGGGGGGTACTCAGGATTTCAAGTGATGGGGATGATCGAAGGATTTTTTTGGGTTTGAAATTTTCGATTCCGGGATTTTTTTGGGTACTAAAATTTGGCTTGGGTAGCTTGATTTGAGTAGGGATTTTTTGGGGGTATTAAAAAGAATCAGTAGTGCCCTGGCTGCGTAGTTCTGCGAATAAAACAAAACCATTCCTGGGTGTCTCTAGCACCTGCTCTAGCTTATTAAAATGACTGCCAAAAACGTGCGGCACGCGTTATTTCTTATGCCAATCGCATGACACCATCAGTTGCTTTGTTTAACAAGCTAGGTTGGATTCCGTTTTATGAGCAACACAAGATAGATAAATGCATAATAATGTATAAGCGAATTAATGGGTATTTGCCAAATTATCTAAATGAACACTTAATTTTGAATAATAAGCGGCACTCCCGCAACACTAGATATTCAAGCATTAATGCTGTTTGTCCTAAATATAGAAGAGAAACAGAGGGAGGACGCTCTTTCGCTGTTTCGGCAACAAGACTGTGGAATAGTACACCAATTGAAATTAGGAAACTAGATTCTGTAGCATGTTTTAAAAAGAACATGTTTGCCAAGATTTTTGAGGAACAACAATGTTTGCATCATTTTACATTTAATAATTTTTTTTTTTAAATATATATATAAAAATCAAATCTTGTTTTATTTTAAATGTTTATATATTTTAGCTTGCAATATTTATTAGATTGTAAATAGTTGTTTATTTTATGAGGGCCACAAGTTTATTAGCCTTTGGCTATTAGGTGCTACCCTCTTTAAATAAAGGCTTTACTTACTTACTTACTTATGAGGGAAAGGATATATTCAGATGGTATGATCAATAAGCAAACACGACTGTTCAATTTCCAATGTTTTTCTTTGTGTTATAGCATTACCCCTTTCTGGAACTTTTAAGGGCCACAAAATCGGCATGGGATTTTTTGGGGGTTAATTTGTGGCCTAGGGATTTTTTTGGGTTTTGCTGGAAGCCCTAGGGATTTTTTCGGGTCTTGACTTTAGGCTCCATTCGATCATCCCCATCACTTGAAATCCCGAGTACCCCACCTGGGAGGCTATGCCTCATGTTTTTAACTTAGTCATACAACACTTCTGTAAAATAGTAATAAAACATAAATGATGCAGTAACTTATCTTTTATGCTAATGATTGCTCTTAAAATTGATTCTGATCTTACTTCTTTGTGGGTAAACAAAGAACATCAGTGATCTTATCCCCAGATAAATAGTAGTTTTCGTCTTTGCAGTCACGGTAATGATTGTAGATGTAGTTTCCACAAAGGAAAAGATCAGCTCCACTGACATACCTAACAACAAATAAATAATAGACTAGCACTTCAACACCTACTCTCCTGAAAGTTTAAAGATCCCAGAGACGTTTTGGGCATGAGATTTGAATCAAACTTAGTGCAACATTTTAAAGAATGAAATAAAGGAAATAACAGATTATTACCTTATCCTTTAAATTCACCCTTAAGTTTGTCTAACAAGCAGACTTGATTTGTGCAATATGTATGTATGTCAAGGCACTTTAGATGTGAATACAAGAAATAGAACAGGAGGAGGTTCCACTAGATTTGGAACAACACACTTGGATAGACTTGGCTTAATACATGTGTTACACATCAAAATTATATTCAGGTCAAAATTTCTCAGCCTAGGTTGAATTAGGGCTAGGAGACAAACAAAATTGAGAATCAACCTTACAGGTTAAAAAATTTTAACCTGAATTTAATTTTGACCTGTAACGTTATACACATAATCTGATTTCTTAATGTAAATCATGGGATGTTGACGCAGAGAACTGTTCAATCTCAAATTTTGTCTTATTCACAAATTAAAATATATACACATAATTCATAAAAGGACAAAGGACAAATTACTTAGATAATCCTATAACCTACATTGGGAAAATAGAACATGCAAGCTAAAGAGGTCTACTGAAACTGGAAATTTTAACCGTTTATGGTACAATCCACTTAAATATTTCCCACAGCGTACTAAATGGCACTTACCAATAATAAGAAATGGCAAGCCACATTGTGCATTTTTTAAAATTATTATTTTACTTTAGATTTCCTTTTTCAACAGTTTTAACTAAAAACCCACAACTACCAGACAGTTCTAAAAACTGGTAAGCCCCCTTAATTCTAATACTGGATTTACATACATGGACTGAATACTTTCCGTCAGATTGGTATCAAAGCCCAAGAACTGCTTTCCTTTTTTAGTATAACCACGCACTTCAGCACCAGATGCTATAAACATTTTTTCTTGAGATGGACCATCTAGCCCACCTAGCTGCAACTTAGAGATTGGTGCTCCAGGAAGAGTCTTGAATGCAATCTGTATTTTTAAAGTGAGAGCATATATAATTTACAATGGTTTGTGAATACTGTCCTATTCTAGGAACTAAAAAACTGTAAATACAAAGTTTAGTTTGTTAAATGAGCAGTAGGGGTATTTGTTTCTGCTGATTACCAAATAAAAAGCCCCAAAGGCAAAATGACTGAGCTAAAGGTTATAGTTACAGTAAACTCCCATTATTGTGGACACTTTCGATGGGACTGCGATTCAGCGTCCATAATAGCAAGATTCTGATACTGGAGAAATTACATTTATGTGTATATCATCTCTAGAACCAATTGCAGTACGGTGTTTGCACATAAAGAGCATTGCAACTTTAAGTTCAAACAAAACAAATCGTAACAGAACAGAACTTGCATCTCTCTTTCGTTCACCGCAAGCTGGCTTAGGACTACCAATTGCAGTTATTTACAAGATTTATGGTGTACAGAAATTGTTTGTTGGATAGACTAGACAGGGTGCAAAGAAAGTCAGTTTTACAGCCTGCCATTTGGGCAAGCTGTAGCTAGCATGTACTAGCCTACAACTCATTTCAACTAGCCCCAAAACCCTTTTTGATTAGCAGGATTGATTACAATTTTCCCTCTGTAATTTGAATTTAAACCACACTTGCCTGATGGGCAAGTTAAGAACAAAAATCACTAGACTGATAGCAAAATCCACTAGCCCCGGGCTATCGGACATGACTTTCTTTGCACGCTTCTAGACCACATCATTCATATCAGTGGAAGGGCAACATTATCCTTAAAATAAGAGGAAAAGCAGAAGGACTCCATAGTAATGATGTACAAAAGAAGCACAAATTAAACCAAAGTGACAAAGGTGAAGAGAAAAAGAGGAGGAAATAAATTGTGAATTTGTTCGCCCTTTGGAGTCACAAATATTTGTGATGATCGGAATCAACAGGTATTTTTTGCACAAATGATGCCATGTACCGTACATTATGACATCATCTATCATCCCTTCCCTATCAATCCTCAATATTTTGAAGATGTAGGGGGGTTGACAGCTTAGCCCCCAAGGGAAAAGTGACATATTTCCAGTAGTTACTTGCCTTTGCAATCAACAGCTGGAGAAATATTACTACAATATTGCAGGCTATCAGTTACTCAATGGCAACAGTTATTAAATGTTTACCCTCTCTACCACTATACATGTTGTTATTGCTTTAAAAACTGGTACCTAAAGTGGGAACTACTGCATGCCGAGGTTGAGGAAGTGCCTATACATCTGGTGCCCAGTTTTGGAAAGGTGGATAGTGCTACCCACTGGATAAACTACTATCCAGAGGAGAGCGCAAATGGTTTTCATAATACTTATCCTCTGGATAGCAATTTATTTATTTACAATTTATTTGGTTGATAGCGCTATTCAATTTTTGAACAACCAGGGCCTGGTCTTGGTTGTTCAAACGGGCAATTGCGCTTTCCACCAGATAAATCACCATCAATTGGATAAGTATTGGGGAAACCAATACTGTGTTAACCTTTAGATAGATTTTTACCCGGGTGGATAACACTATCCAATCCCTCTGTATTTTTAAAAGCAAACTAATTTAGTTTTCTTTTTATCAGTAGTTTTTTAATAGTTTTTAATAGTTTTTTTTAATAGTTTTTAATAGTTTTGTATATTCTAGTATAGTTTTATTTATTATTATCTTAGAGTTGGCGTGATGTCCCAAACTATTTTGCCGACATAACGATATTTAGATTTAGATTTAGATTTATCCAAAATTTGAACAACCAGGGCATGAACAGCACCCATTTCATTTAGAGGCTGGCCGGCAATGAACAAGATAGGAAAATTACATTTTATGTCCTAAATTACCTGGGAAGTGGTCTTTTTCATCCCAAAACATGTCAATACTCCATCTTGATCAGCTATAGCAACCTATAAATACATTTGGGTTGCATAATGGATAAATTTAGAGTAGGAGTTCTAAAGATCTACATTTGAAAATTATTTTAAAATTTTTCACCTTCTGCGCACTACGTTTTCCTCCACTAGACAACAGCTTCATCGTCTTGGTAGAGGTCACACCAACCTGACATAGAACGAAAAGAAGCCGTTGAAGATGAATTGAGTGAATATGGTGAATCGTGACGGTTGCTGCATCACCATGGAGGATATAAACACACACACACCTGCAAGAAGTCCAGGCGGCTCAAGTTTAACTCCATCATCTTGAAAACGGAATAAATTTAGTAGCTTTCCCCTGAAAGGTCTAGTTTTACATTGTCAAGAAGAATTGCAAGCTATTAATTTCACATTTGGAAGCAAACGTCAGTGACAGACGGATCTAAATCGATAAAAATCAGGACAAAAGTTCAGCTGTGTGAGTACGTCCAAGAAGCTTCCAAGAAGAAGTAACTTTTGGTCAGCGGAGGAAAAGAATGGGTGACCGGGTACTCCTTTATGTAAAATACCACCAATTATCAAATTGTCAAATGCGTGCCGACTAGGCCTAGTATACCATGCGAGCAGAGTCTCCTTCGATCTAGCCTAGATACAAATATGTGGATATTTTTAAAGATATTTAGAAGCTAAGATTTTGCGATATTTAGAAAATCTCAAGATATTTAGGAAAAAATTGTGATATTTAGAATTTTTGTTTCGAAAAAAGAACTGAAATCATGTTGTTGTTTTTTTTCTAGGAATCTTCGGCAGTGCTAATTAGGACATGGGCATCAGTGACAGAAATTCAAACAAATCTCCACATATGAGCCTGTCGTAATCAGATTCAGCAATATTTTCCATTTATAATGTATGTAATGTGGCATGGCTGATGACGTACCCTCTGAGCCACGCACAAACCGAACAGTAGTGTCCTATTTTAGACTGCTTTTAATTCGACGCGGTCTTTTACGAACTCTGCCTGAATTAAAGTGCAGTGCCCTAGTCTTCTTGGAGGATGAGGGGTACTGTAAATAAGGTTGACTTTATGTGAAATTGTTTAGAGTCTTGTTGTATGCTGTACAAGAACATAATTTTCTGAAATTGCAGAAATTTGTGTTGCCATTTTAGATGACAGGCTATTTTGTTGTGTTTTTAATGTAATATATGAAATGAAGCCAGACATTTTTTAGATATTTAGAACTTTTTCGAGATATTTAGAAAAAAATCTGGAATTTCGGGAAACATATTTAGGCGATTTTTCATGATATGTGTATCTAGGCCTGGTGCCGAAGCCCTGTCGGTGTTCTTTGGACTCAGTGTCGTGTTGAGACTATAAGTAGACACCTCGGTACCGTGGCTCATGGGGACAAAACGCTCCAAAACACTTCCCAGAATCCAAAACACGTCCAAGAATCCAAAAACACATCCAAGAATCCAAAACACGTACCAAAAACCAAAAACACATCGAAGAAGCCAAAATACTTCCCAGAATCCAAAACATGTTTGGATTCTGGGAAGTGTTTTTGAATTCTCGGAAGTATTTTGGATTCTGGGAAGTGTTTTTGGATTCTGAGAAGTGTTTTTGAATTCTGGGAAGTGTTTTTGAATCCCTGGGACGTATTTTGTTCCCTACGAGCCACCGTACTACCTTGAGGATGTGGTCAGCAGGCTAGAAAAAGAAGGGAGGTTTCTAACCGAACACAGGTTACCTGGATCTCTCAATCGAAAGCGAAATCCAAATTAATGTATTTGGTTCGAAGAGAGTTTCTGTTTGGACTTTGTGTCACATCGGGAAAAAATTCCGTATCCTGATTTCAAAATTACAGATCCTGATTTTCCATTGAAAAGAGTCCTGCTTGGTCATCATTTCTAGGAAGTTAACTGAGTTAAGCCCGATTTCTTAGAAAAGCCGGATACATCAATGTTTGATCCGGTCGGTGGCCTGAAAGTAAAGAGGAGTTAGCAATGAAAACACACGTAGCTACACGTGTCACGTAGACCACCGATAACTTTCCTAGATGTTACAATCTTACTGACGCTGAGGTATATTTAGCCGGAGTGACAGGCGTTTGAAGAAAGTTTTTGCACAGAGGCCGAACGGGGGCGTTAAAAAGAGCGAGAACGTGTTTAGGGACTTGGACTTCCTCTCTGGCCAGACCGTATTGCGTATCACTTTCGTATCACTTAATAATTACTACATATATACGCTTACCTTCACTTCAAATACTTTCAGGTTCATGGACAGCCTAAAAGATACTTAAATTATCATTAGCCTTGGCCATCATTCAAATATGTGCAGCCCAGCAGACCGCATTTGTCTCCCGTGTCAAATACGATCACGTTTGCTAGCAGATGTAGCTAACTAGAAGTGGCTTAAAACTATTATTTTTGTTACAACTTATATTAACCGTACAAACAAGTTGAAATTAAAGAGGGTGGAATAAAAAAAGCCAGTAAAGAAAAAAGTTGAAGATAGTCTTAGTAATAAAAACAAAGAAAAGATCAGGGGAGCATTGTCAAACAATGTGTGAAGCTCAAGGCATGAAAATAAAACGGCAACAAAGAGCTTCAAGCTTCATATTCAATTTCCTGTTGGTTACCCTGCAAGCAGTAGTTTCTACTCACTCACCAGTGTCACTTACGCTTTAAGGGCAGTTTCCGGCCCCCTAGGTAGGTGGGGGGGGTAACCCCCACGTAAGAGAAGGGGATGCTCGTTGGGAATTTAGAATTAGAGGAAACCAATCTGGGGGTAGCCTCCCCGCAGACGTCCTTTGGGGCTCGTTTGTCACGCATTCATTTCTCCCGTGAGGGAGAAATGCCATGCGTGACAAACGAACCCCAAAGGACGTCTGCGGGGAGGCTAATCTGGGCGTGGCTCAGGTTTTATTTGACCTCTAAGAAATCTTTTGGAGACCAAACTTCAACACAGTATGACGGCTTTTGTTTCTGTTTATTTATATCGAGGTAGCTGGATTCTTGAACACGTTAATGCCAAAATAGGCGTCGTTCAAAAACTCCTAGAAATCATCATCTACATGAATATTAGTCTATTTGGATACGTGCTTGCCCACTTGCTGTCACTAAAAAGTAGGCCATTATATATTTCTTTACGAACAAAACCTTCATTGTGGGTAAAAAGAATACTGCTTTTCCGTCCTGAATAGCGGTAAGTGAGACAAAAATCGACAATCTCTACCATCTAAGCGAGACGACGAACACCTGCTGTCGTTTGCATGTGGGAGTTCGGTCCCCCCCCCCCCCCCCCCTCCTCTTCCTCGAGAGCGCCAGGCGCTTGGGGTACTTGTTGGTTTTCCTGTGGGTCATGAACTTAACGGGCAAAAATGTCTTCAGTTTCCTCAAGGAAAAACGACGACTTTCGCACCGAGATTCACGTACATGATTCTCCAGTTCAGTTGTTCTTTAATTACATTTGAAATAGAACACTTTTCAGCAATTTTTGAAATATTGAAGAAAATACGCCAACAAAAAAGATTTCTTAAAATCCATTTCGAATCTGCATATTTCTCTTTTAGTTTCTTATAATATGTCAAGTAATCGGCTCCTGAATACGTTCATACATTCCCTTAGTTTTCTCGAAAACAATACCCGATTCCACAGCAAAATGGGCAAAGTCTAGACCCATTTTCAGACCAAAACGACGCAAAACGATACCCTTTGGGGCGGCACATACCTCATGGCTCATAAGGGAGTACCCCTACGGGGAGCAATAGAGATTTTTTTTCACGGGCGGAAGTCGCTGGGTGAATGGAAAATATGTCATAACTTTATTGTTTATAGCGATCGCAGTTATGAAAGAAAGGAAATTATCAGCTGAAAATCTCTGGGTTCTCTATCTTAGCACAGATCGTGAGCCAAAAAAGGCTTTTTGTTATTAAATTTATTTTTGGTGTTGATGCTGCAGAAAGTGAAAGGTTTTCTTTTGTTTCTTAGTCCTTAAACAAACTATTTACCCTGGGATATAAAAAGAGAGACGCGTGACGTTTGTAGAATGACATGTTGTAACATAAAACCGCGCGCGCGTGTAACGTGCAGTCGAGAGAGGGAAAATTACTGCTCTTTCCAATGGTGGGTATTGAACTTGTGCATGCTTTCTTGCGATATTCGCACCGTATTTTTCTAATTGTCATTCCTAAACAATTACAACAGCTCCGAATGATCTGTTTGTAGATGGTCACGGCTGGTTCCCCTTGCTGTGGACGATTTTGATTGGAAACCGTTGTCGAGGATTCAGTTCATCCTCTCTTGGTTTATATACAAGGTATTCTCTGCTGGTGTTTAGCCGCAAAGATGACCATGCTTTTCCACTTCTTCGTTTTGTTTCTTGGAGTTTGTGTTCTCGATTGCAGAGGTAAGAAAATCGTATTGTATGCAGAAGTATTGTGCTTTCGTCGGACCACCAAAATTTACTGTACTTGGACGGCCCATTCATTCTTTGCATGATAAGGAATGCTGTTAGGAGGGAAAAGTCCTTGAAATATTTTTATTTTTAGTGGTTATTTTAATTAATTGCCTTTTATTTGCAGCTCGCTATTTATCCGATGCCCTAGGTCGATCAAGGATCATAGTTATAACGGACTTTCTAAATTCAAGTGACGGTGACAGGCTGATCTCGTCATTAGAAAACAAGGATGTCGAGTTGGTTTTCCTTCAACGCGATAGCCCCTCCAGTGTTCAAGGATCAGTTGATGTATTGTCTGGGGAAGAAAAGCGGTAATTTACCTAAGAGTGCACTATTCAATGCTGTGAATTCATCTGTATGTTTCTCTTTCAAAGTCAATCAGCGTGAAATTGCGATTGTCTCGCTTCCTTCTTCGTAATCGCTTTCTCACGCGTTATAACTTAAATTCATCAGTAGTAACTAACCCAAACGATAACCAAAAGTAGTACAAGAAGAATTTTTATCTTAGCAGTTATGTATGTAGTAAATTTGCGGTATAAATAGTCAGCTCTCAGACAGGACGCGAGGAGTATAAAATATTAACAAACAACGCGCTTTACAAAAAATTATGACCGACGCTAAATTTTCAATTTTTCGTGGACTGCAAATACGTTGGACTAAACCTTTTTCTATTTTTATGCAATTTGCATTGTGTTCGAAGTTTTCCTGGGGGATTTGTCCTCAATTCGTAAGAAACAACTGTCCGGGAGGAAATTTTTCGCGCGTGACAAAAATAAAGCGTGATATTGTATGGAATGCAGGTTGAAAAAAAACTATTGTTTAGAAAAAATAAAATCCGTCATAGCGAGGGATGTGAACGTCATTTTAAGACCTTAAGTACATTCACAGTAAGTCTGTACGAGCACACACTCAAAGAACAAAGATCTTTCTCAAAAGTTCCTCGTGTAAAAATATTGTTTCAATTAATGCTGCACTTTACTGAATATTTGTTGTTGTCTTACCCTACCAGAAAAATTAGTATAATTGTGCAAATTTCGAAATTATTTGTTTACTTTTCAACGTAACTTGTTTTGGTTGAAAAAAATGTTAACAGCGTTTGAAGACGCTGCATTGAAATCGGGGTCAGAAAAAAAACTTTCAGAGGTTATTCTGGTGATGTAAAATATCTTCTCAGATATTTCTAGTGTAAAAGATCTTGTTTAAAATTTCATTTTACACGGACGTGTTACTTGATACTTGCTGTCATCTGAAACTGTTAGTTTAATTAAGTATTATTCAGATCATTTGTTGACATTTCTGCACAACATGTTTTGGTTATAAAATGACAGTGTTTTTGTTTTTTTGGACATTCCCTGATTAAAATCTGGGACAGAATAAAGAGGGAACTTTCAAAGGTCATTTTTTTGTATAAAGTGAAGACAAAAGGATTAGGGGCCAGTAGTTTTATTTTGCAGTGGGCGTCTATTTTATTGGCGGATTGCCTTTCAGTCAATGTTTGAGTTTAAAACAGCTTACAGCAGGTGATCAGCTACATTTATAAGTGGATACCTCTTAGGCAGATTAACATGCACATATGCATGCTATGATATCATGCTTTTTCAGCTTACTCCTTCGATCATTTATTTGCAAAATAAATTCCTATCATTTGGCACAGTTTAAAATTATGACTATACCTTTAGTTCAGTACCCTACCCAGATATTTATCCTCATGATCACTTGAGTGAAACATGGCAGCGCCGTAGCTAGTATGAGGCCAACCGAGGCACTTGCCTCGGTAAAATTTTGACGAATTTCGCCGATCATTTTTATTTTACATAAGCGATCATCGGATATTTTTAACGCATCATGATATTACAAAGAATTCAGCAATTCAGTCAATATACTATGAAAAAATTACCATATCATCGATCTCAAGGGGCTACGTACGTTAACTCAAATTTTTTTTGAACAAATACTGATCAAAACCATTGGCGAGGTTAACGGTCACCCAGATTATGTAGCTTGTATCTGATTATTGCTTTTTAAATTCCACTTAAATTAACTCGAAAAAAAGTTACCGAAAGGCCCAGAAAACGCTGCAAATCGCATTTCCGAGAGACTAAAGTTCAAAATTTCTCGGGGGGAGGGGGGGGGCATGCCCCAACTCCCAACTCAAATTTTTTTTGAACAAATACTGATCAAAACCATTGGCGAGGTTAACGGTCACCCAGATTATGTAGCTTGTATCTGATTATTGCTTTTTAAATTCCACTTAAATTAACTCGAAAAAAAGTTACCGAAAGGCCCAGAAAACGCTGCAAATCGCATTTCCGAGAGACTAAAGTTCAAAATTTCTCGGGGGGGGGGGGGGGGCATGCCCCCGAACCCCCCTAGCAACTCCCGCCTGCCTCGGTTGGCCGTTTGGTCTGGCTACGGCACTGCATGGAGGCACAGTGACTAAGCAAGCATCTTTTCCTTATATTTGACCTTTTCTTCTTACTTCCTCCCTCTTTACAAGTGGGTACCAGCAAAATGCTGCTGATCCCATCCAGGGGGCGTAGAGTAGCCATTTTCCTTGGCACTTGATGCTACAGAAGCCAAGATAATCTCCTGGCCAGTCTTGTAGTCCCGATATTAGCTTGTAGCGTGCCTCTACCTTTCTTTCTTGCGTGACACATGAAAAATTCTCTGATCTGTATCAATTCACACACCCAGGAATGGCTACGCAATTTAATTCAAGCCCCAAATGAGCTGACATTTGTATCCATTATTGTATCCATCAAATCCCCTTGGAAGAATTGTGTTTAAAAGAGGTTTGGAATTTAGAATATTTTTCCAACAATTTGTGGTAATAGCTGCAGAAATTAGCTAATATTGGTGGATTGAGGTTATAAAAATTGTGTAAGGAAGGTGCCCTTTTCAGGGAGAAATTTTTATTTAATAAAAATAGTTGTCTAAATGTCTTGGCGTAGGATATTGGCCTTATTTCCTCTCACAATGATATCTGCCACTATTAAAAACTATTCAGGTCTCCTAATCTTCTACCCTCTTTTTGCAAGGGAATGTTAGTAATTGACAAAATACCAGAGATGGTTCAACCAAACGTTTATAATGTTATTGATCAAATGGAAAATAATATTATTATAATTTATTTTTTCAGTACTGTTATTTTGTCTAAGAATGTATTAGCCCCTACAAATGATATGCAGCACAGAAGGAATTATTCAACATGACTGGATATAAGCCCAATTTTTTTCTGTTAACTTGATATCTTGTTATCTTGGACAGTACAAAATGGAGACTGCAGACTGACTGAAGACCATTGTTTTCGGGTTTAGAAAACTATGGGACTATTGTTGTCACGTTCTCATTTACATAGTGAATTAACAATGTTCAGCAGCAGTCTGCACTTTGTACTGACCGTATCTTGAACTATCAAATTTAAGGGATGTGTGAAAAAAAGATTTTAATTGACTCTTGCTCTAATGTCAAATTCTCTCTTTGTTACACAAAAAAAAACAAGGTAACAAGTAGGGAGAACTTAGTTGTCCACCAGATTTGTCACTTGGACTTTTTTAGACACATGAGCCTTATACAAAGTTCGTTTATTATGCCCTTAAAAGTTAGTTTTGAATTCCCTAGTTCCTAGGTCTCCTTTTTTATTGGTGGTGGACAAAACACTGACCCCCAGTCCATGGACTACCCCCACGGACTACCCATATGGACTACCCTAATCACTAAACTTCAGTGGCATAGTCTGTTTAGGGTCACTAGTCCATGGACTGGGGGTGACAGTGTCACCTTTTTTATCTGTAAATCATGATGGTTCATTAACTTAACTGATTGCCATTAAAATCTATGTTTAGGGCTTTTTGGCAAGTGACTGATAAAGAACTTCTCCCTTGGTTGTTGGTAGAAAAACCAAGGACTCTAATTTCTGTAACTCACAGCACAGATATTCCAAAGGTCTTGATTTCTGCAAGGAGAAAAGGTATAGTGACACCTCTGATCATTTACGTTCAGTATTCATGAATATAATAGCAAAGATAATTGTTACATCTGTGAATATAGGTTTTTCCCTTTGCTGATAATTTAACCCATTCGCTCCTGGAGATTTTGCCGAAAAACGCGTTTTGAAGCTAGTCGAGTGGTTTTCTGGTCACTGTCATGCTATAAAGAGCTAAAACTTACCACAAACCGGTTTACAGGTCGTACACTTGGCGGCCTTCTGATCCAGATGCAAAATATCAGCTTGCGAAGTTCGGGCATGCGCAGAAAGATAATTTTGGGGTTTAAAAGTGACACAGCAGTCTTGACTTTTACTTTTCGCTTTCTCTCCTCCCTTCTTTTTTCGCTTTTCTTGCCTCATTTTTTTTTCTCTTGCTGGGCATTTAGTAGGCTTCATTTTGGTGGGAAGAGTTTTTAGGAAAGCTTTTAGGATCTTAGGATTAGGTGAAAGGAAAGGTAGGTGGGTAATGGAACAAGATTTTCATGGAGATTTTCAGGTCCTTGTCACGTGGTTTTTTGCCTCTTTTTCCGGTGTCCTTGACTGAATTGTGCTCATTCTGGTATGGTTTGAAAGATCTCTTCACTCTGCACAAGTTAGCGAAGAAAGTTGTCCTTGACCGTTAAAACTGATGACGTCACAAAGGGTAGAAAGGACCTGGATCCGCACGGGCGGTTACGGGCGGTTCAGGGGCGAATGGGTTAAATGTCAATTGATTATTAAATTGGTATACTTTTATCAACAGTTCTTTTGAAAATGAGTGCCTTGTACACAAACATTGACTGCACTGGAAAGGCACAAAGGCACTGGATATTTAAACTTTCATAGCCTGAGTGCAGATGTCTCCTATTTCATTTTCTGCTTACAGAAAAAGGATCTGCCTGCATGGTGCAATCTAGCCTGCAAACGGCAGACGTTTCTCCTCGCTCGTCACCGCTGAGGGACGTTTCGCGAGGAGGAACGTCTGCGACTCAGTGACAGAAATTCCATACTGATGACGTAAATCAATGTTTACATAATAAATTCGGTAGTCATGGGGTTCCAAATGCAAATTTGTTTAATTCTACGTTTCTCCTGGTCGATTTTGGTAAAGTGTTGTGTTCATCTTCGAATGAGCCCCAGCAAAACTCAAATGCTTCTTCAAGAGAAGACTATATTCCACAAATATTGGCTGTTTTGTTAGAGATTCATTGCGTTTACATTTGACCTTTGCAGCCTTTTGCCTTTTGTCTGTCATTCGTAAACAATAGCTAAAACAATGAAACTTCTCCGTCGACCAATTAGCGCTTCTGACCGGATTCCGGACAGATTTTGGGTCATCAGTATGGAATTTCTGTCGCTGAGTCGCAGACGTTCCTCCTCGTGAAACGTCTCTCAGCGGCGATGAGTGAGGAGAAACGTCTGCCGTTCGCATGCTAGGTGCAATCAATAATCATGTTCCAGTTTCCAAGATCTTGGGAGAAGACAGCAATTTGCCACTTCATAGTGGGCATTGTTTGTGTAAACTCTGATTGGTTGTTGTCAAAAACTGGTGTTGAGCATGGTTTGCTCCTTTCTTCAACATCTGTCAAAAACTTCCCAGAGATGGTGTACTCCAACCCAGACCTTTCCCATTAGACATGCTATCATATAAATACATGTACATGGACCAGCCCGTAATAAAGAAAGTGGCAGATCCAGGCCCTCCCCTTGTTGTTAAAGACCAAACTGGCTGAAAAATATGTTTGTTTGAGACCTGGCTCCCCCTTATCTCAGGGTCTGGATGTCCAGCTCCCCCCCCAAACCCCCCCCACCCCACCCTTCAAACAACAAAGCTCTACTTTTCTTCTCAAGTAAGGAAACAATTCAAACTTTTAACGGTTCCATTTAAGCCATTATGCTCTTGTTTGCAAAGTGATAAACTTGTGAATTGCCGTGTTGGAAAATTTTACAAAGATCTATTTTAAAAACTTTCGCGTGATTTGATCTGTCAATCAAATCGTACTTTTTAATGATTTCGATATCCTCTCTGATTTTGTTGAGATCACTTCATGTGTATATACTAAAACAGTTATTCTTTTCAATCTCGGTGGATAGTGGCTTCAGGAATACTTACCTCGATTTCAAAGAATAATTGTTAAATATACTCAGCAACTTTCTTAGTGACAGCAACCTTTTCAAAAGTCATAAATGGCCAGCTGGACTGGTCTTTTCAAAAATGAATTAGACTTTTTTAAAGAGTTCTCACTCAAAGACCTCATCAACCCAACCCATATTATACAGGAATTGACTGATCTGTATGGCTGGACAGTTTTGATTAAAATTGAAATTCTCATTATGGCCTGATTAATTTTTCTGGCTGGCCAACGCGGGCAAATGGAGAGCGCCCTTGTTTTAGTTAGAAGGCAGGCCCTCACCTTCTTAGAGGTCTGAATCTGCCACTGTACACTGGCTCATTTTGGAGACAGTTCTTTTTTGTTATTTTTGAATGGTTGATCAACCTGTTCTCGTTTTCCTCTAGGATTATTGTCATTCACCAAAGAACTTGTGATATGGATCATACAAGGTGGTGTAGCAGCAATTAGTGGAGCAGTACGTATATTTTTTCAATGTTGGTTTATTTCTTTAGTTCAGGGAAAGAATAACAGCCCGTCAATGGACAATGTCGGACCAGAAGGGCGACTTGACTAGCAAAAAATCTCACCTGCCAGTTATGTTGTCTCATTCTTTAGTTTAAACAAACAGTCAAATCCTCACATGTAAATCTTAGATTTTGTATTTACGATCTCATTCACAAAATTAATGTAAAATTACACAAGGATAAGCTGAGACAGTGAACTTTTTTCTTATTTTCTGACCAGTCAGGTTCAAACGAAACTGGACAAAGCAAAAATTTCTTTGGCCGGTCATCTTGTCCGGCCATGCACGTCTGAAAATATTTTTGAGACCCGCAAAATCAATGCTTAGCCAGAGAAAAACAGCCGACATTTTGCTATGGGTGGTTTCCCCGTGAAATGACATCTGAGAAACAAGTGCAGAAATTCCATACTGATGATGTTTGGTTACTTAGATATGGATAGTGCTTCGATTGGATGAAGGCAAGCAAATTTCTAACCAGTCAGAAGCACTGCCCAGATCTGGGTAGTGAAGCATCATCAGTATGGGATTTCTGTGCTTGTTTCTCAGACATCATTGCATAGGGAAACCACCACTGGTTTCTTGAGATGTCAGCTGTTTTTTTAGGCTAATAAATGCTAATGACGTTTAGTTTTTAAAGTGCCGCAGTAAAGAGACATTTTGAAGGGCAGCTTATAATTCAGCAAAGAGTTAATTTGTGAAAAAGTGGTGAAAAAAATTCCGTTATTTTATTTTGGATTACTATGTTTTAACTATCATCTCAACCAAGATTTTTTAATTTTCATTTTAGAATGGTATTATACTGACCTCACCAGGCGACTTGGATTCCCGGTCAAGTAAATTGGTTGATGTAAATCATCTCATCTCTAGAAAAGTTCACTTTCTTTATGCAGAAGATTTTGAAAATGCAGTTGTGGAAGTATTTCAGAGAAGGAAACTCGGTGTGCCCAGAAGACAAAGAAGAGGTGCTGTTGCTACTGCTTCAGACAGTTCAAGTATGCAACCACAAGTGGTGAAACCTCCACCTTTTCCACGGTGTACAGTAGTATTGCGAACCAAATAACTGTTAGTCCTAGTATGACCCATACCACCAAGCCATCAAAAAGTTTGAATTTTAAAGTTACTTCAATTACTGCATCATGGACTGGTTCCTTTGGGATTCCAGTCCAGTCATCACCCAGCCTTAAAGAGACTCTTTCACGTTCAACTACCACAGCTATGGCTTATTCGTCTGGCAATGCAATTCAGATGACTACAACTCCTAATGCAACTGCTACTAGTTCAAGTGTTGCAGCACTGACTACTTCTTTTGGAGTTGAAGTGCAGTCTTCTTTTAGTCCAACAGTGCTTTCTACCAGTTCAAGTATTGCAGCTTTGACTTCTTTTTCTGTAACTTCAATGCAGCTCACACCTTCTGATACAAGTGCCTCTAGTTTAAATATTGCAACATTGACTACTTCTTCTGGAGTTGTGGTGCAAACGTATAGCCCTTATGTAAGCGCTATGAGCTCAAGTGTTGCAGCATCAATGTCTTCCTCTGGCTTTGCAGTGCAGCAAACGCAAAGCCCGAATGTAAATGTCACCATTACAAGTGTTCTAGGGTCATCGTTCAGCCCCGTTGTCAACACCACACAATCTGAAATGACAACAACGGTGATTTCCCCGCCATCTCCCTCAGTATCTGTATTAAAGTCGTTAAGTCCAAACGTGAGTGTTGTGGCTCAGTTGAGCTCAAGTTCACTGACCTCATTTTCAGTTGGTATTAGCTTGTCAAGTGCTGTTATCTCAACAGCCCCAGTGTTAAGCTCGAGTTCAGAGTCTAGCGAAATAATTGGTGCATCAAGTCCCGTGATTGTTAGCTCCACTGCAATTTTGCGTCCCTCAAGAAGTGAATCCATGTCTCCAAGTGTCGTGGTTGCTACCTCATCCAAGATCGCGTCGACAGGCGTAAGCTCCACTGAAATGCCAAGTCATACTAGCGAGCCACTTTCCAATTTTACAGTGTCCAGTTCTTTTACCTCAACGCAGCCCTCTCAGGTAGTTCAAAGTCCTTCAGCCCTTGTTTCAAGCTCAAAGCCTTCTTCGATCAGTTTTGTTCCGTCTCAAGTATCAACCAGCGCTCTTGTTGTTCAACCTACAGCCGTATCACAACTATCGAGTGCTGTAGCCTCGACAACTCCAACAGCTAGTTTAGGGGTAAGTCCAAGTTCCGCGGCCATCAGCTCATTTACCTACTTAAAGTCCTCTCTTGTAAGCTCTCAGTCAGCAGAGACAACGCAAACTGTGCCTAGTTTAGCGCCATCCTCTCTCACCGTGGTTCAGTCTTATATCTCAACATCTACCTCTTCAGTTATTCGACCTTCTTCGTCGTCTCTTTATTCAAGCCCTGCAGCTGTCCCCACAGAAACGTTTAAAAGTTCACCTTTGGTGTCAAGCCAGACCACCTCGGTTATCGCCACTTCACAGACAAGTTATGCCTCAACTTCACCTTCAAGCAGTGCGACCAGCAGCCCTCTCGCAGTGGCGACAACGATTCTGACAACAGCATCAGTTGGTATTTCATCTACCATTAGGATCTCGCCATCATCCACAGAACGCCTGCCTCCATCCTCCTCCAGCGCCGTGGTTACTGAGAGACCTCCTGTTTATGAAAACGAAACTGTCGTCATAGTGTTTGAAGGAGATTGTAATGATATCACGAACGATTTAAAGGCAAAGGAAAGATTTCGAAATTTGGTCGTGATTGAAGTTGCTAAGGATCTTGGTGTTGATAAATCCTTCATCCATATTAGCGATGTCCAATGCGGTTCAATACTGGTTACTGTCACTGTGATTGGGACCAGCGGGAAGGCAAATGTCTCCGAGGAGTTGAAGAACTTGGTGAAAAATGGAAATATAACGGTAAAATTCAATGGCAAGACGTACACAGCAAAGAAAATTGAACAAGTACAGCCCTCAACTACCCAGCCACCTACGACAAAACCTTCGAAGAATAATATTCCATTCATCCTTTATATCACGTTTGGCGCTCTAATGGCTTTGATATTCATCGTTGGCATAATTGTATTAGTTGTAAGGTGCCGTAAAGATCGTCGCCAGGGCGGTTTTTTCCTCACCGCGGACACAAACTATGAACTGAGACGATTTCAAGGCATTCCGCGCGCAAGAAATTATTCCAGAGTTGACTACTATGGGGACCCTGTGGAACTCGACGCCACAGCCGCTGATCCTGATGCTACATCAGATGAATTTCAGGCTCAACCAGATCCGTACAACAAAGGTTCTTCTCTCGACCGCGTAAAACCAGTCGCCGCAGCCAGTGGTGAAGAAAAGTTTAATGTCGGCACTGCAGGTTTGCCAGAGTGGAAGAATCTCCCAAAGCTTTCGAAATCCCATGTGGCTCGCGCTGTCAGTCCAAAGAAAGGCCTTCAGCCTTCGTCTGGTTCGGTCGGAAGTCGGAATGAACTGCTGGCCCACGAGGGCGAGACCCCACAGGAAGACTCGAAGTTGTCGTATGATAACCCTGGTGTTGACATGGAAGATGGTTCTTCCAGTGGGAAGATGGACGCGGAAGACAAGCGTGGCGTTTCTTCTTTTGGTGATAGCACTTCCGGCCAGGAAAACGAAACGCAGAGTCTGGAGAAAGGACAAGATAACCATGGTCTTACCGAGGACTGACGACAGCTCATTAGGTCCTGTTCCACTTGACACAATGGTACGGTCTTACCAACTTGTTAAGTGTGGTGGCATGGAACAGTGGCTGGTTATACATATAATCAGCCAGTCCAATATGATTGGAAAGCGTAACTTTCTCACAGCTGTGCATGTGTGCCTTGATTTTGTGAATTTTGATTTAGATGAAACAATTTCTCCAGCCGCAAGATTTTTATTTTAGCTAACTGAACGTTTCTCAACTGATTTTTAGCATTAATTTTTGTTGAATGTTTAGTTTTCAAGGCTGTGAGGTAGTTTAGTTTAATTTTTACTCGAAAGCAGGTTGACTGTGGACGTTCTGCTTTTTCCTTGTGAAAGCGCTGTTTGAACAATGCTGCAAACTTTAGGTATCTACTCTAAGTCCCCTGGCGCTCGGTGGAGAGGGAATTTAATAACGGCCAGCTGTACGTGAAGGAAGATATTTTTCACACCGAATCATCTTGTTTTAAACCTAACAGTACCGGCGTTAGAGGTCATGTTAGTGTTTTAGTTATACAAATGGCAGATATCATGTATTGTAACCTTCACAAAAAAGATAGTGTTACCTTGGGTACCGAAGGTTTTTTTCCGCGCGCGCGGATGACTTATCTTTGGCCGAAGCCACGAGCAGCCCGAGAAGTGCACATGAAAAGTCCCTACACCCCATGTTAGAACAAAGTAAGGAACGTAATTTAGTTATGTAGTTAGAGTGCCAGTGTAATTCCACGATTTCGTGAGTTTTGCATCGCTTCCGATTGGCTGAATAATCTCATCGAGCCACTCTCAACCAATCAGGAGTAACTTGCTCATACCTTTTTCCCGCGCTTGGCGCCGGTCCAGCGGTTTTAGTGGTTTTGCAGAGAAAACTTGCATGCATTTTTCTTGTGAGTGAAAGTTTTGGCTGGTGTAATAGTTCAAGGAACGTAGTAAAGCTGAGTGACGTTGCACTACGTGACGCGTAGTTTGGTTTATGACCGCTGAAAGAGAACTTTTCTTACTGAAAATAACTTTAAATAGAATTTTTCTGCATATTTTCTAATCAAAGCTTTCTTGATTGAAATCTCGAATGTTACTGATAGTTTTAGTACGCAACCCAGGCAACCCAAACGGTAATCAGCCAATCACAGGCCAGATTCACGAAAGGAGTGACTTTAGCAGTTCGTTAACCAATCAAAGACAAGAACATCTCTTGCCTTAAGTGTCGGTGGCCCTGGTTGAGTTCATTGCGCTATATTGAAGGGTGATTTGTACAATGAGTGATTTATATTTCGTAGATGTGTGGTAATATGTAAGACAACTAAGTGATTTGAACTTTCTATATGAATACTTGTTTCTGCAGTAAACAAATATTTTCAAATAGTGTTGGTATGTTTCGGTCTCTTGGAGGGGTGTGTTAAAGGTGTGGAATGGTACTTACGAACTAATCCCTAATTCGGCTATGTTTAGACTATACGGATGGAGTTTTGTCCTTTCACAGAACAGTCGCGTCTCGTAGCGCCGAAAAAAAAAAGACAATAGACAACTTGAAAGCTATCAATGAATGTACTTTTATCCTTGTACTCTTTACACCCTTCTAAACTTGTTATACCCTTATGTATACTTTGTACTCGTATATACTCTTGGATCCTTCAAATCCTTGCTCTGCCTGGAAACCTTGAACTCTTCAAATCATACGAAAGCCGAATTCTTTTTTTTTTTTTCAAATTCTTTACAACCTTACCTCCACTCAGACGTTTTCAAAACATTGGCCTCTCCCTTGGTAGTTACAGAATATTAACGGATTTTTTTTCTAGTAGATACGTAAATTCGTCAAAAAAAGCAGTGGAAATCGCATTGGGTATCTGTCGAGTACTATTTGTTCCGTATTCTTTGAATGTTAACGTTATTAGGGACTTTAAGATCCAATGACGCGCACGGCGACGAGAACGTCAAAAAACAATAGTTTTCATAAGAAAAACAATAACTTTGCACGTGTATCACGCTTTTTTGTACATTTCTTTGCCCGTTTTTGCACGACTACGACGTGAAAATGCCTAATTTCACGTTTTATGGAGTGCGTAAACAAGCAACGACGAAATTTTATTTCTCTCTCTGAACTTGGATATGGTCCCTCGGAATTCAACTCCAGGAGGGTTCGCCTACATTTGACAAAGTAAGTGGATAGAAATAATTGCGATAAAGACTGAAAGAACGCAAATTCACTTTTAAAGCGACGTTGTCGGTGCCGCCGCGTCCTTGTTGTTGATCAGCCATCCTGCTATTTTGTCTCTTCATGCATTCCTTTGAACCCTTTCGCCATTTTCTTGAGCTGGCAGGTAGTCATGCCAAAACAGCTTACCTGCCGTGCTACCGTCCGAGTGACTGACATCATTAATGGTATAATCTAACCATATTCCAAATTTGGACAAATCAGAACCGGGGAATCATTTTCAATGATTATTTTGTGCCTCATAAGCCAAAGCTCCCTTATAGGCAATTTGAGGTCCTTTCACCTAACATTTTCCCGCCAAGGGATTGGAGACCCAGGAGCCGACAAGGGAAGTCCTGAAGCGGGGGATGGGTCAGGGCCGCAAGGGAGGGGGGGGGGAGAAGCTGAGATTGAGTCCGATGATGCAGAGAGCGAGACCTTAATCAATGATTCCTTTCGTCTTTTTTCGAGCTGTCAAAATGTATTTCAGCCAGAGAGAGTTCCCTTCCCCATTACCTAAACTACACATTAAAACATGGCGTCTTTTGCCTTAAGGGCGGGAGCTCTTTATTGGGCCCCCAATTATATTTCAAAATTTAGTTTCTTAGATAACATAAATAATCAATGGTTAAAACTGACAAAAAATCTCACTGCAGGTTCTATTTCAGAAGAAGGACTTTAACTCTTTCATTCTATTATGGTGATATTATATGTAGAGATAGCCTGCGAGCAAGCTCTACTATTTGGGCGAGTGAAACGAGTCTCGCTAGAACGCACGAGCGAGCGGCGAAGCCGCGAGGGGCAGAGGAAAGGAGCCCCTCGCTCGCGCGTTCTCGCGAGGCTCGCTTCGCTTGCCCAAATAGGAGAGCTTGCTCGCAGGCTAATGTAGAGATTGGTGCAATACTATGACCAAGCTACAAGCTCTACATAATAACGCTGCGCGACTCATTTTAGTTTTTTCCTTGCTTGCTTCTTACGAGCGATGCATTTGGGAGGCTCTTTCCGTGGAAGTGATCCATGACGCCTAGTTGTTTTTATCAAGATGATATTACAAAGGCTTATAATAGGTAGGTCCTCTCAGGAAAATATGTCGAGCATGCAAAGACGTGCAGCAGGGAGTTATGTGCATAGGCATGAGATGCTGATGTGCGAGCATTCATTCCCACTTTTTCCCTATGATCCGGTTGTTTCTCCTAGCCTGCGTAGCAGGCGTCGAAAGGGGTAGGGGGTAGGGGATAGGGAGGAAGGGAAAAAGGGGAGGGGCCACGCAGGCTAGTTTCTCCCAGTGTTTAGCCCGGGCAGCAGGCGTTGAAACGAGTGTCGGAAGGCACTGAAAAACGGTGGGGGGTGAAGTATCGCAGCTAAGTACAAAAGGCCTGGCAGCTAAGCAAGAGAAACAAGTGAAGTCACTCAGGAAAAGTTTTTCGTAGATGAAAGGTCACGTAAACTTTCACATTTTACGTTCGTTTTTGATTTAATTTACTGTGAATAGTTGGTTGAGTAGCATTAGATATGGATCGTGATCGGTTACCTTCAAATAGTTCGCTTGGACCTGAAAGACTTGAAAATGTTTTAGGTAGTGATAGCGAGGAATGTCCCATCGTAGAGGGAAGTAACTTGCGATTTTCGCGAACTGCTCACAGCGATGTATTTCTGGAAGAACCAGAGGCTGCCGCTCTTGCACAATACGACGATTTTAACACTATTGACTGGGTTCGTGATCGACAGAGGGAACGAAAAAGGTTTCGTGAAATGCGGCGAATGAGAAGAGGTAGTCTTTGGGAGCGAATACAACAAGCAAATGACGCCTGGGCTGGCTGGTTGATTGTCTTTCTTGTTGGTCTAGCTGCGGGATTATGTGCAGGGATTATAGACATTGGAGCGACATGGATGACTGATTTAAAAATGGGTGTTTGTCCAGAAAACCTTTGGTTTAATCAAGAATCCTGTTGCTGGTCAGATAACACTAGTTTTCAAGAAGTTGGCTGCCATCAATGGAAAACGTGGGCGCAGATATTCACTGGCTCAAACGATGGCGCCGGGGCATATGTGATTAACTACTTTATTTACGTTCTTGTAGCTTTAGTTTTTGGTTTACTCGCCGTCACGCTAGTTCGTTGGTTTGCGCCTTATGCATGTGGAAGTGGAATCCCAGAGGTAAGGAGATTAATATTACATAATGATTAATAAAATAATGATCCTGCAAGACCAATGTTAATTTTTTTTGCTATGCATTAGTACTCTTCATCCCACAAAAATGTTTTATTTTCACACAGAGAATGAATAAAACATTTACCCAGGTTACTTAGGTTTCGCCGCTTCTTGGCAGGGTCACCGTAACAGTGCATGGCACCAATTATTTACTGTGGGCCCTTAACTGTCCCTCCCCCCCACGAAAGATAGACCACTACAATGGGGACTATGTCCCCTACTCTTTAGGAACAGTGCATGGGTTCTTAAATGTCCCACAGAATTTATACATGCAAGGGTTGTGAGATGGCACCTACAGTTTATTGTCCTTATTCGAGAAGACTAGAAACCATTTGGAGATGTCTGTACAAAGGCAGCACTTTCTCCTCAGTTATTTAAAACCCTGAATGTTGGGTCAGCCAGGGTTTGAACCAGTGGCCTCCTGTGTGGCAGACCAGTACTTATCCAATTGAATTAAGTGGGCAGAGTTTACAAAATAAAACTTTACCCATTCTGAAAAGATGTTTCCTAGTGCTAACAGAATTCAACCATCAAAAGAGCTGCAAATAATAACCAAGAAAAGATTACAAAATACAGTCAAAGCCCATTAATACGGACAATGAGGGGGTCCTAGAAAGTGTCTTTATCAATGAGGTGTCTGTGTAAAGCAGGTTGAATTTAGAGAAAATGTTAAGGTTAGGGACAAGGAAAACTGTCCAAAATGGTGTCCATATTAAGTGGGTGTCTGTAAAGCAGGGTTCGACTGTATGGGATTTTATATTGATTTGGATCACAGATGATGTCAAAATGTGGTAGGAACACATAGATGGCTGAGATGGTCACTTAATATGTTCTTCCTCTTTCTTCATTCTCTCACTTGTTAACGACTCCTGCTAAACTTCTTTTGTGACCTTCACTTGCTCAATAAAGAATAATCTCATAGACATCTTCAAGACTCCGGACCATGTTGGGCATAACAAGGAAAACAATTCTTTGTGATGTCGTCTCTTAGGGCGAAGGAAATAATATTGAGAATCAACCTATAGCTAGATTAAATCAAAACTAACCTGAAATCAAATTAATTGACCTGTAACATCTGTCCTTGCTCATGTGTAGGGAAAAGTTGGACGTTGTTGTCCTTCTCAGCTCATATCTCCTTGCTCAAAAGCAGCTGAGTGACAAACAACAGGCATTATTTCAAAGAAAAATAAACATCAGTCCCCAGTTCTTGTTTCGGAAGGATACAGTTGAGAACTCCAACACAGACACCACTGGCCACTATCCTCCTTCCCTCAGTAATGACAAGAGGTTGTTACATCATGCACTTGTTTTCCATTCTCATTTTAGCTTTGCTGTTAGTGTATGCTATTCTTGTTCTAATATTTTAAACTGCTCTTTAGATTAAGACGATTCTAAGTGGTTTTATCATCCGTGGTTACCTGGGCCGTTGGACGCTAATTATCAAGTCCCTGTCAATGATGTTAGCTGTTTCTGCTGGCTTAAGTTTAGGAAAGGAGGGTCCCCTTGTGCATGTGGCAAGCTGTTGTGGGAACTTTTTTTCGCATGTGTTTGCTAAATACAGTAAAAATGAAGCAAAGAAAAGAGAGGTTTGTTTACTGTTGATAGTTGCTATGTTTTTTGCCAGCTTTCATATCTTTTGAGTTAAAATTTTAAATAAAAATTCCAGTCTTTGTATATATTGGAAACATACAGCTGTACCCCAGAAAATTGGAGTATACAAGAGTACATGTGCCTATTTGTAAAGAATCCCCACTGTCAGTTTTTTTCTTACCCAGATATCAACCTTCAATTTTTTTAGCTTCCACAACCTTTCTTTTAATCACATTTTGATTTGTTTTTGTTTGTTTCTTTTTTTGTACATGATCTATTCCATTCTACTTTTTTTTAGAAAGCCTATTCCCATTTGGTTCAATGCTTCATTCCTTGTTGATGACTCACTATCACCTTAGTCTTCTCAGAGTTTCTCATAGATCTCTGTCACATCGGGTCAGTTATTTAAACAAAGTCTAACTTAGGCTGCAGTTTAGCAAATCTTTGGACCTCCAGATATCTTCTTTTCTGGGTTATTTTAAGAAAAAAATAATTATTGCTTTGCTAGTCTACGTCTTATGCTTTCATGAAGTTGTTCACTGTAAATGGTGTTTAAAAAAAAACGTTGAGCAAACTGAAAAAGGCTTAGAATGCAGTTTTGTTAAACACTGGCTAACCCCGTTTAAATAACTGGCCCTTAATGTTTTACTTATCTTTGCACCAATAATTCAGCCCTTTTTACCACTGCTGTCTGTTTATTGCTTTCTGTCAACTTTACCTAGGTCTTATCAGCAGCAGCTGCAGCTGGTGTGTCTGTGGCTTTTGGTGCACCCATTGGTGGTATCCTGTTCAGCTTGGAAGAAGTCAGTTACTACTTTCCAATGAAGACATTATGGAGATCATTCTTCTGTGCAATGATTGCTGCGTTTACTCTCAAGTATATGAACCCATTTGGAACTGGGCGTTTGGTTATGTTTTACGTAGAATATGACAATCCATGGAAGCTGTTTGAACTTGTACCTTTTATAATTTTAGGTGCTTTAGGGGTGAGTGTGATCCTTCTAGTAAGTAGCATTAATTTTTCACCTTCAGACTTTTTTGTTTTGATGATTTGTATAGGGTTTCTTTATTCTCAAGTCATAATTTATATTCCATTTTCACAGCTTTATCATTTAACTGATGAAATATAATAAATTTATACCCCAAAAACAAAATCAAATAAATAAGAGTGTAAAAAGTTGAGTTGAAGAAATTTTTCATGCTGGTTATTTACTCATTTCTGTTTCACATGATCACTGTTGATCAAAAACAAAGTCGTCTCTTAAAATGCGGCAGCCAACTAATAAGTTCAGGTTTTGAGACCAGATAGGCTATCAGAAATGAAGTATAAAAATTCGATGGGCTCATAATTTTATATTTTAACTATAAAAAATGTCCCAATATACCACACCAACTAGTGGTAGTCTTGTATCATAAAATCAAATATTAATTTAGGGCATCTTCCATTGGCCATATACCAGAATAAGAATTTATAAGTTGTTTTGGCTTTCATTGTATAGAAATATTTACAAAACTGCTTGAAATAGAATATTCCAGTCTATATAAAGTTTAAATGGTTTAAACATCACATCAGAAGAGCTTTGCAACAAACAAAACTTTTGCGTATTCTTATTTCAGAATATGATTAATCAAACGCACCCTTGTTATCTTTTTAAATGTTTTTGTTTTTTGTAGCTTTAAAAACTCATCAAGCAGTCTTTTTTTCTACTTTTTCTTTTATATAGGGTCTTATAGGTGCATTTTTCATTAAGGCAAACTTATGGTATTGTAAACTGAGGAAAACAACAAAACTTGGAAAGTATCCAATAGCAGAGGTGATAAAAATGACTATCCCACCTTTTACATGTTGTTCAGTTCTATAAAATAATAATGTATCAAATTATTTATCCAACATGAAAAGTGGAGCTCCCTTACATTAAGCTATGATAAAAAGTGGAGTGCCTACTAAAACACATTAGCCATTATCTTGAAAGAAAATAATTTCTTTTGACTTCTGCAATCTAAATAAATACCTCGGACTCACATACACCCAAAAATTTAAATGTAAGCCCATGATACAACAAAAGTTATCAGGTGGTCAGTGGAAACCTCAAAAGAGTGCATGAACTCGATAGGTAGCACAACTGAGCCGATAATACAATCATCTCTTACAGATCAGAGGGTGCCCTATTATGATGGCATGACTTCCTCATTTGATTATGCTGCGTTGTAATAATATTATGTGACCTGGAGCACACGTTCAGTCAATCAGCTATAATTATTAAATGTAACAAACAGAATTCTTCACATTAGGAGGTTTCCCAGATTTTCTTACTAAAAGGGCTCCATTTGACAGTGCCTACATGTAGCTAGCTTAGCCCAAGAAAACAGAAGGCACTTGGCAAAGCCACCACTGCTTTCCCTGCAAAATGACGTCTGAGGAACGAGCGATGATAAACGTGTCACTACCGAGATCTGGGTAGTATTTCTGTTTGGTTGAAGCAAATTTTCCGCACGGCACTACCAATAAGAAGCACTACCCATATCTGGGTAGTAACACGTCAACAGTGTGGAATTTCTGCACTCGCTTCTCAGACGTTGTTTCTCGGGAAAAAAGGTGGTGTCACTGAAACGTTTTGCTCAGGTCATACCATGCTCTCCAGTAGTTGCTTATTATTATGTTGTACTGTTTTCTTCAGGTTTTACTCGTGACTCTTGTCACAGCTTTGTTGGCATATCCCAATCCCTATTCAAGGTAACAAAATAAAACATTAACGCTAGCTACTGAATCAATAAATTCATTCTTAATGAGTACGGCTGTAAATGTATGTTTTTTTGTGGAAGAGGTCACACATGTTGACAACATCGTACGTGTATTCAGGCGTTAGCTTTGTTGACATTTTGTATCAGCCTTTTAACCTCATCTAAGTTATTAATGTTTAACAAAAATGTTTCACTACCTCAGTGCCTTATACAGGTGCTGAAAAAGATCATGTTTTTTATTGTGTAGTTGAGCGAACCTCTCTACAGTGGTCACCTTTCATTGGCAAGGGTAGAAGCTGGCTGTCATGGGAGGGGGCAGGGGTTAGGGATGAAAGGGGAAACCAATTTTTGGGTGAAGAGGGTAAAACTTTTTAAGTTTTGAAAATGCTTATTATATTGTACATGTAAAATAGAGGTCTTCCAAGGGGTAGAAATGACAGGCAACATGGCCCCAAAAACTGGCAACAGTCGTCTAAGAAATCATCAACATTAGACAGAAAAGGAAGAAAAAAGTGACAGTGACAATCCAATTTTAAATAGTCGTTCACTTTTACATTTGGCTGTTCCGGCAGCAAGTAACAAAATTTCTTCTGTTATTTTCTTTGGAACATTTTCTAATTGTGGTATTGTTCAAAAACATTCCTTGGAAGGCCTCAAAGTAATATACAAAATATATAATAATAGTGTGCTGATAAATAAGAAACAAAATGTTTTGAAAAAATATGAAGATAAAACAAGGTAAGTGTGGTACAGTGAGTGCATCAAGATGGGCGAGAAGAGGCTGAGGTCTCGAGGGGAGAGGTATTCCCCCCCCCCCTCTCTCTCTCCTGGCATTCGTTCTTCTCCCTTGTGGCTCATTCTATTGTGCCCTAAGTTTCTCAAGCACCTGCGTTTGTTCTTTGGTTTTGCAGGGAGAGTAGCAGTGTTTTAATCAAACGCCTTTTCAGTCAGTGTGGTCCAGATGACATTTCTGAGTTATGGTATGTTTATGTACTTTCTCAGGACCTGAAAGTATTAATCCTTAAAATCTTTCCAGAAAAATAAAGAAAAGCTATTGCTGTTTTACCCTAAGCAACCCATAATCAGCCTGTAGTCTCTGCTATAATACTTTATTGTTATTTTTGTTTCGTCTGGCTGAACCTGCACATTTCAAATCATTGTAAAAGAAAAAGCGAGTCAGTTAGTACAAGTCATAGCTGGTGTGTTGAGAATATGCCACCTGCATGCACACATGATGGCAGCCTGAACATTTGACACATTTTAACAGATTGCAGTGTAACACAAGCTACACGAAGTCGTAGGATAACAAGACCTACTTTTATTTCATTTGTGTTTCTGTGTGTTTTCACAGTGACTATGAAACAGATAACTCCACCCTGAATGTGAATGATCCTCACTGGCCTGGAGCTAATGCAGGAGCCGGGGTAAAAATGGCTGTGTGGCAGTTAATTCTGGCCATGATTTTCAAGGCAATCATTACTATTTTTACATTTGGAATTAAGGTGAGGTTGTGAAGTCTGTTAGTTCTTTACTAAGAACTAAGAAACAAAATTCATCAAGTGCAATAATATGATAACTAGAAAACAAGTTGTACCACAGAACCAAAAATGCAAGTGCCCTGTAGCCTGCATCACAGATGTAATTTAACCTTGGTTAGTGGGGACTTTAAGATCCAACGACATGACGGCAACAAGAACGTCGCTTAAAAAGTGAATTTGTGTTCTTTCAGTCTTTATCGCAATTATTCCTACTAGGAGTTGAATTCCTAGGGACCATATACAAGTGCGGAAAGAGAAACAAAATTTCGTCGTTGGTTGTTTACGTACTCCATAAAACGCAAAATTAGGCACTTTCACGTCGTATTCGTGCAAACACGGGCAGAGAAATGTACAAAAAAGTTGTTGTTTTGCTTATAAAACCTATTGTTTTTTTCTTGACGTCCTCGTTGCCATCCGCGTTTTTGGATCTTAAAGTTCCTAGTAACATCTGCAAAGCAGCATTGTGATCCTTTCTCTGGGCCCCTAACGACTCAATGAATCACCAGAAGTACGTTTTGAAGTTCCCTTCAACCTGTTTGGCAAATCGGCAATGGCTTTTTCAACAGGCCAATCATGGTGCCTACTCAAATCCTGGTACGCAGGTGAGGGGCCAGAACAAGAATTTCAGTACTGTTTCGCAGACAGACTTAACCAGAGTTTAGTTTCATCTGTGGTGCAGGCTAGCTAGTGCACCCAAGAGCAACTGCATGTAGCTTATACTTTCATCGTTCACCCTGATCATTTTTGTTATTTTAGTTGTACTAGATGACAATCCACATCTCATTTTAGGTACCTGCTGGATTGTTTATTCCAAGCATGGCCATAGGAGCTTGTATGGGAAGAGTTCTTGGCATTGGAATGGAGCAACTGGCCTTGTATGTTACCAAATGTAGAAACAAAGCTAGTGTAGTTACACTATTTTTGTTGAAGGTTCTAGGTAGTTTCTCCAGAACCTCAGATAAGGTCACAATTTCGTCACCTTATACGTAAAAAGTTAATATCTTTTAGGTATATAAAACTTACTTGTAAAGATGTTTTGTAGCTCCTGTCCGATGTAAAATTCTCATGGCAGGGTGCAACAAAAGTGCTCTCTGATAGTCCGGGGCTAGTGTAGCGACCCTTCAGGCCAGCTTTTTTTAATTACGAGTTGTCTAATGTACAGGTAAGCAACATTAATTTGCGGAGATTAAGGAAATGAAATTGAAAAAGGGGGTTGCTAGGTTGACAAAACTACTCTGGGCTAGTAAACTTGAGCAACAGTTTTTTTCTATTTTAACGTAATCATCAAGAGGACTAAATCCACACAACAGAATTCACGTAGATCAGACTTTCTATACATTTTGAGGACTAATGCTGTTGTTATCTTCATGTTTTTCAGTCATAATCCTCACTGGTACATTTTTGAGTCATCTTGTGGTAAATCAATCGCCACCTGTATAACTCCTGGACTATATGCCATGGTAGGAGCGGCAGCAGTTTTGGGTGGAGTTACAAAAATGACAGGTACAACTGCAAATCTTGTTAACTTTTACCACAACAGTAGACCCTCTCTGCAGCATGCAGTCTGGTGACCTTTCTTGCACAAAAATTGTGGGAAACAACTTACTAATTTAATATCAAATATAGAAAATTAATAGTCTGAAATGTCATCCATCTCTTCGCCACACACCCCAACGGGCCGCCCATTGAACCCAGAGGGGTGGGGTGAAGAGCCGGATGACACTTTAGACTAATATAGCAAAAGCAAGGGGGATTGCTAGAGAACAAATTTTGAAATGACTAACACATACGACCAACAAATGCCAAACTAACAAATTTAGGGGTGTGTAATCATTATTAAAGACCAAGTCCTTGGAAAAATAAATTGGTTCCTAAAAAATCCCTTAAAGAAAAGGTCTCAGGTCTGTCTGAATCATCCACACATAAGTTTGTCCTTGCTATTTTGTAAGATTTACTGATTATCAGATCTATCTTTCCTCTGCTCTAATGATGCATTGTAATAATCCTGAAGTATCCATTTTTCTTTTGAAGTTTCCCTTGTGGTGATCATGTTTGAGCTGACCGGAGGACTGATGTACATTGTACCACTCATGGTGGCTATTATGACAAGTAAATGGATTGGAGATGCATTCATTAAGGAAGGAATGTATCCTTCTGCTATCGTGCATTGATGTATTTTACTTAGGGTGCTTTTCATTTTTGTCAGATTTAGCTGGCCAGGCCAGGTCAGGCCAGTCCATTCGTTAGGAGAATATTAATCAGAACTATCCAGCCAGATTAGTTTATTGTGGTGGGTTGTAGTAAAAATCTCAAGAAAAGACAAAGATTCTGTTTACGCATTAACCGGTCCGGACAGCCAGATCTGACTTCTGGAAAGTACACAGGAACAAAAATGGTCTAAAGGTGATAGTGAGCAAACCCTCTATTGTGCTCCTAAGGAGTCATGATAGGTATAAAACTTAAAGAGACAGTGGAAATAGTTAATTTTGTCTGATGTCAATGTTGCAAACCCTTGACTGCTGTTCAAGCTATGACGGACATATTCATCTGAATGGCTACCCATTCCTGGACAGCAAAGAAGAATTCACTCACACGACACTGGCAGCTGATGTTATGAGACCAAGGTGAGATTTAAATAATTGCCGTCAAACTTCCATGTTTGACCACCGCCCCCTTCCTCTTTGCAAAAGTGATCACCTGTCCAAAATATCAAATTGAATTTTCCCAAGCGACTTTTACGTTCAGGGTTCGAAGTGTTTACTGAAACTCTTTCCTCCACTGATTTAGTTGATGAGCCAAAGCTGCTAAAAGGCTACACCCCAAAGTTGCATCTCAAACAGGAAAAGGTGCTCCAGAAAACACCATGACACATGTTCATGGCAGTTACTTGCTCTGGGTTATGGGCTCCAGTTTACGTTCATTTTAGTAGGTGATTTTCATCGCACAAGTTCTTAGATAATCTGTTTGACTGTGCCATTATTTTTCAGGAAAAATGACCCTCCTTTATCATGTATTACTCAAGACAGTTTTACCGTTGGAGACATAGGTAATAAACATTTTCCCTAAGGTTGATTTCAGTGTTCCTGACGTACTAGTTTATATGAACTGAATTTAAATAGTGTCTTGTTATATCTCTCACAGAAACACTTCTTGAAGAAACCGAGTTCAAAGGATTTCCTGTGATAGTGGACAATGAATCACAAAGACTGGCAGGCTTTGTTCTGAGGAGAGATTTGAATATTGCCATCAGTAGGTTTCTTTACTTTTTCTGGACTTGTGGTGAAAATGATTGCTAGAGTTCCTTACCTTCAGTTGCATGCCGTAAATAGGCCTTTTGCATTGGTTGATTACGTGATCAACTTTCAGTAACCACGAAAATAGTCCGCTTTTGAAAAATTTTGTTCGCACGAGCTGAAAGAGCGTATTAAAATTAGGCAACCTGTAAATTTTCAGCCGTATATCTGAAAAGCACCGGTGTTAGGTGTTAGGTGTTTTGTTCACACGGAACCACCTTCACCGTACGAAAATTTAGACGCTTAGCCGTTCAAACTTCCGTATGAACACATCGAAAATATTTAACGGTCCCGTGTGTCGGTGGGGCCGGTCAAATTCTTCAGCCGTGTGAAGGAAGCATAAGTAGCCTGAGTATCAGGCCTTCCTAAGGGGCTAGGGGAGAGGAGATTTTAGATGGGGGAGGGGGAAGGGGGAGAAGAGAAAGGAAGGCCTGACACAAAACCATTCAGCAAATCGTGTGACACATCCAAAATCTGGATGTGGCAGTGACAGCACCAATGCTTTTAAAAAGCTTGGCTTTGCTTGAGGCGGTTACGATAGTGTACGTGACTGGAATTCGTTCGCTTCCTCTTCCAAAATTTTGTCACTTTTGAAATGTCTTAAGCTCAAGCGGGCGCCATCATGTTTCGCCAACGGGATTGACCTTTGAAGAGGTGGAATTTGCTGCAGCTTGATAATTTCTAGGCATAGGTGTTTCACCATCGCACCTTCCTATTTATTCTTGCAGCTCCTTTCAACCACCCTAGAATGCGAGGGATAACATCAGCTTTTTAGCTGCCAGACAAGCGCCTGATGTAACTCTGTAAACAAAAGCAATTTACAATTTTCCGGGCACACGTTTGTTTACAAAGAGAGCGTTGGCGATCTTACACTAGCACAATTCCTAAAACATGTTATAATTACTCAAAAAGGCAGGTTTTACGTTACAAGTATTCGAAAACTCCTCATTGGAGGTTTCAGAAAAAAGCGAAATCGTAGCAACACAAGAACCGGTGCTCGGCCAGACCGTAAAGTGAGATTTATTTTAGGCGAGCTTTTTGACCCATGAAGCTGACAACCCAATGACCGGGAGCTGATTTTGATTGGATGGTATCGAATCATGCTCTGTGGGGGTGGAAGGCTCCAGTAAAAGCATCTGTGTCAGGCGTTTCTCTCCTTCCGCTCTCTCGACTCCCTTTTTCGCTTCCATCTTTCCCCCTTTTCCCCAGAAACGCCTGATACTCAGGCTAAAGCATAAGTACTGGCAAATGTATGACTTTGTTACTTGTGCTTTCAGGTCACGCCAGAGCTCGTGATGAAACAGTGGTATCGGCGTCACGTGTTTACTTCTTACCCAGTCCCCCTCGGTATGCTGAGCCTGGTCAGCCGTCTAGTTTGAGTTTGAGACATATTGTTGACATGGTAGGAAACTGCATTAATAAACACTTGAATGTTTTCATTGTGTCACTGTACATCACGGTGAAGCCGAATGAATTGTTTTCTGAAAAAAGTGGTTGGTAAAAAAGTAAAGTGAGGTTTGAGTTTCCCTCAGAAATAAAAAAAAAAAGACAGACTTTTTGGCTTTGAAAACAAAAGTGTCAGTTACGGGGTCTTCTATGATAATAAAATTATCGTTTGTTGCAAACAGGAAAAAACGGTTGCGAACTGGATAGGCAAAGTTGATCCTCAGTTCTTATGAAGTTTACCATTTCCACTTGAAGAAGCTTTTATTAGGAGGTTTTCTCTCGTCAGACAGATCTACTCGTTATATCACTTGTAACCCCGTTGATAATTTACCCATCTGGGCCCGGTTCCTGAAAGGCCGATTGGCGCTAATCCAGGATTAAAATTTTGTTCGACGTTTTATATTTACCTTCCTACGCATTGCTTAGAGTAACATTTTTTGTTATCATCACTGTATCTCGGAGTGAGGACGCAACGGTATTTTGTAAGCTTGAGTTACATGTTCTTAGAAGAGAAAACGGTGCTTAAAATTTAGCTTAATGTTGGGTTAAACTTAACCATTTTTCTAGGAACCATGTCCAGGTTGTTGTGGCTTATAACAAAGTTGTTTTAATTCGCCACTTAAGGAACGAGAAGGGGACTGGAACCGAAAGGCGTCCCGCAATTGTTTGTGGGGTCGTTACCAGGCACGCGCCAGTCAGCTATTGGCTAATTATTCCCTGTTCCTAGTAACAGTCCCAGAAGGCTTTGCGAAAGTTAACTCGCCCCAGTTTCCCTCTCGTTTCTAACGAGGCGAATGTCTCTTGTATTTCAGAGCCCAATTCAAATCACTGATGCCATGCCCATGGAAACAGTAGTAGAAATGTTTCGTAGGCTGGGATTAAGGCAGACACTTGTTACGCACAATGGGTGAGTAGACAGCTTATTTTCTTTGAGTTTTCGCGTGCAATCCTTCATTGTCACAGCTCTTCTCAGTGGTGTCGTTTATTGCACCGTTGATGAAATCTCAAGCGTTAAAAACTCAAATGAAACTTATTAAGCACTATCCACTGGATAAATCACTTTATTATGTAGATACTGATGAAATACCAGGATTTTTCCTTGTACTAGAAAATCATATCTTCATCGGGCGCAGTGAAGATGCTATTTTTATCTTTCACGTGTGAGGGTATTGGTGTCACCATGGTTACTAACATGATTAGCCATTTACAAGAGAGCTTCCCGTTTTTAATAGAGTTTTCGAAGTTGTCACGACAAACTGAACTGTTCCGGACCCTGTGGAACAGGCTAAACATTTTTATTTTCTCAATGGTTTATTGATTAAGGCTTAGTTCACACACCGGATAGCTTTTCGTGTCGACACTCTCTTCTCCGCAGATGAGCTTCAAGTTGTGTTTTATGTAGGAATTTCATCAGTATCTATAAAATAAACAGAACATTACATGGCCGCTTGGGGATACGAATTTTATCTTCTCCTGCTGAAAGTATCTTTTACGAGTGAGCGAAGCGAACGAGTGAGAGATACTTTCAGCACGAGAAGATAAAATTCGTATGCCCGCGCGGCCATATAATATCCTCTATATCTAGTGCATAAGTATTGTGGAAAACAATTGGGTTATCTACTGAAGAGATATTTAAACAGTGGATAGCGTTATTCACCTTTTGAACAACTGCGGCCTGCAGTACTTCACTGTGGTGCTGTTTACTGTGATGTACAAGGTGGTTCTGAATTTTGATTCTGTGAATCAAACCCAGTAGTGTAACCACTCAAATAAAAGCTCTTGAACAGTGCCTTCTTGTGTTACTGTTTATTGTGCTTTTTAAGATTACTATAATAGTTGAGTTTGTGAATTAAATCGTAAAGATTACCACGCAAGTACATGGTTACCGAGCAGTACTTTATTATGCTGTATAAATTGACATTTGTGTCTATCGATACCATAAAACGACCATTCATGACAGAGGTATTGATCAGTCAGGTGTTTTGTTTGTTGGTTGGTTTGTTTTCTGACATCAGCGTCGAGTGTACGTATACACTAACATAAAACATGTTTTTAGTTCAGGGAGTTAATTTTGTTGTATCTATTTTTTTCAGTCGCTTGTTAGGAATCATCACAAAGAAAGATGTTCTACGCCATATTGCCACGTTAGCAAATCAAGATCCAGATTCTATACTTTTCCATTGACAGTCGCAGTTAAAAAAACGATTTATGTACTACATGACGTAATATCCCACACAATAATATGGAGTCATAATCTCTTAAACAGCAAAATTTTGAATGGTCTGTAGAGAAGTGGACACTGGGTCCCTGTGTGCCGACGTTTTCTCTTGGTTCCTACACAATCCACCGCTTTTACAATACTCATGACTCCCTGAAACGCTCTCGTTTGAAATGATATCTGACAAGGCGAAATGGAGCAAATATGTATCACAGCTACTTATCGGGTACCCAAACAAACGCCACTGAATCGTAGTCAACAGTTAACGACTAATTGACGGACTTAAGCAAAACTCAGGCCCGGTTCAGACGCCGAATGAAGGCCGACCCAAACTATTTAGACCGCCTGAATTGATTCAGACGCCAATCTTAATTCCAGCCGAACTAAATTCGAAAGATGAAAAATGCTCGTTTGGTGAAACTGCTTGCAAAATACGTTACTATAATTTATGCATTAAGTTAGGCAGATGAAAGTTTCGACGTCTGAATCAAAGCCGTTCCAAAGCCGTTCCAAAGTCGTTCCACAGTCGAAATTCCCGGCCTGGCTAGGCGGGAAGAACGGCTGAGCCGTTTCAAATTGAAATAGACGTTCCTAATTGATTCAATTCAATATATTAGGTTCGGCTCATCTGAACCGGGCGTAACTACGAGAGAATGACTGTATAACCGACAATTTGACTAATAAACGACTGTTTAACTGTGACAATGGACGAAGCGAAACGCACCAATGACATTACAAGTCTTCATAGTCTTCACGGTTTAACTGACATCGCTACTAAATTGACCAGTCAGGGCCGGGTTGTTCGAAGCTGGGTTAAGATAACCCAGGGTTAGTGCGAAATTTGAACTCAAATATGAGAGCTTAAAAATCAAATTTAGTTTAATTCTCTTTGCCTACAATTTGATGATTGGATACTCTAAAAAGAATAAAGAAAATTATCCGAGAAAGCGCTTTTGATAGCAAGAAAAAGAAACCCGGGTTAAAATTTAACCTCAGGTTAGCGCTAACCGGCGTTCGAACAACTGGGCCCAGGTCAATAACCAAAGTTAAATAAGATAACTGACGTGATACAACTCACTTTGACTGTGAAGATGACTACCGCACATGCTGTCTAAACGTCAGTCACTGTCACCCTGCGTTCACATCATTTTGTGCTGTTTTTTCTTTTTTTTATCCAGGCACTAGTGCTCGGACCGTTAAAGTGAACATAGTCTCATTTGGATTATTCTTACAAAACATGGCCATTCCTCCATGTCAAGATAATAAGCTGATTAAGAAAAGAGGTAACAAAGTAACCCAAGCGTTCACATCAGTTTTACTAATACATGTACATCTCAGGTCGAGGATATATTTTTAAAATAAAGAGATGAAAATGACAATAACAATAAATTTAAAAGTAAAACTGAGTCAGGGCTATTGTGATTGAATTAGTTAATCTCATGATATTACTGTTCTTCCATGGCCCCGAAAAATTTACTAGTAGTTTTAGGCGCACCGAATTCTAAAACTTTTTGGCAGATGAATACGTTAACGCCGATAACGTCATAGTCGTTTTGTCCTAATACGTCTCATGAGTAAAATGGGGTGGATTACATTATCTTCCCTTTTTGTATTTCCAATACAATAGACTCACCTAGCTTTGACCCGGTTTTAGGCGGTTTGTCATGCTTTAGTTTATTTAACCGGTTTCATGGTGTCGAAGGAATAAGCTGTACTCGCCGGTGTCTTAAAATCCTGTCCTGGCTCCAGTTCACTGGTTGTTGGCACGCAAATCGTGGATATTAATGAGGGCGAAGGCAAACTAGGTCTTTCTTTCACGAAACAACCCCTCCCTTTATAACATGACAAGGAGGCTCAAACCGGTTAAGGCTAGGCGAGTCTATTCACATAGACCATAATACACCTTGTTTACCCCCCAAAATTTTGAAATACAGTCGTCCCAGAAGGAATCGAAGACAATGTTTCTGCAAAATTTGGGGGGAAATAAGATGCATTATGATGAAAATGGTGAATACAAAAAAGGGAAGATAGTGTGAATCCAATGCGTTGTATTCATGAGAGAAAGACAAAAGACTATAATGGCAGCTTTAATGTATTTCTGCACAAAAGTTAATGAGATTCCTCCGCAAAAAAGGTTAATTTGGGGCGGCTTATACTGTTTTTATTTAAGGCTGGTTCCCCTAAAGAAATGGTTGAATAAATAAGGAAATAAAAAACAATTGGAGTGGTGGCATTTCGTTTTAGTTCTTTATCTGCTATTCCTGGTCGAACTGGAATTGGGAAATGTTGGTTTTTGAAGACAGGGGAAAACTGGAGTACTCATAGTAAACCCTCCCTAAGCAAGGTTAAGAAGCATCATACACTCAACTCACATACAGCGTTAGTATCGAACTTCCGCCGCTCTCTCGGGACCGGTCTTGTTCCTTGAGGAGTGCGGGCTCATTTCCCGAATAGTGGGTGCTGAAGGTGGGCGTGGCCCCACTCTTGCACATGTCCATGGCAATAGTAAGTTGTATTTTAATGAATCCAGTACGAGGAATACGTGAAATTTCTGAAATTTTGTTTTGTATGACTGTCTGTGAATTCATGTTAGGTGAATTCTGTTCGCAAGAAACAAAAACGAAGCATATCTTTCACTATCGATCCTTTCTAGAAGCACATCGAGCTAACTCATGCACCCCTAGCGTTTAAAACTTCCCTAATCCTGCTTCGTTTTTTTTGTTGTTGTTGTTGATGTTGTTTGCCAGTTGGTCTCACTTTCAAGGAGAGAGGACAACGCGTTGCATAGTCTCTCTTTAATACATCATATTATGATAAACTACTCGGAGTTATTTTGACTTCGAGTCTGTCCTCCTCTAGTCATTGAAGAAGTTTCATTGAGCTATTGGGCTTATGTATTGTAAATAAAAAGATAAATGATTAAGAATATATAATGAGCCCTTTGCAGAATGCATTTAAACGGTAAAACACCTTACTGGAGAGGAGCAAGAAAAACACGGATGTGACCGTATTCTGCGAAGGGCCAATTGTCAGCAATAAGAGCTTTTGGGGCATTTTTTGTGTTAAACGTAGTAAGCGACAGTCTCTTATCCGGGTATTTTATTCCGTAAATTAAGACTAAATAACTCGATCGCATTTAGTTCTTCTCTTTTGCCGTAGAAGGTAAGCGGTGCTAAGAATCTTCCCCTATTGGTATCACACTCGTTCCGGTATCGGCTCGCGCACGTTGAGTCGGTTGCCTTGACTCAAGTCCAATGGAATCTGAGGCACTTGACCAACTACGGCGAATGAGGCGACCGTTTTCTCCTGAACATGCGGTGGTATTTAGAACCGCAGCAACTCTCATCACCAGTCCGCTTTCTTTATTCGATTTCTGTTGTACGTCCATTCTCTTTAATTCCTCTCTCAGCTGTGGTATAATAAAAGAAAACGAAGCAACAATTATGATTATGATTACAATTATTAAATCTTAATCAAATCCAGGGCGCGTATTTTTAGCTTTGTTACTCAAAGGAGACGAATCTCGCTTATTCGAGAGAGGGTGCTTATTTCATTTTGAACAAAAACCATGAAAAACCGAATTTACAAAGCCTCAATAGTAATTTAAATGGAACAATAACATAGCTTCAGCAGAAACAAATATACGGAGAATGTTTTGTTGAATGGGATGTGAGGGAAGTTTGTAAATGGAAAACTTAGACGAAGTAAAGACCACTGGTTTTTTTGACAAATTGTTAAAAAATAAAGGGAATCACGTAATATTTTTTATTTTCAACGTTTTGACATTTTTCGTGCTTGATATGTGCTTTAAATCTATATTATGCTCAAAACTTGCTCAGAAAGGCAAAAAATTGCTCTAAAAGCCAAACGTTCCTCAAACGTTGGGGAAAGCCAATGAACTGCTGCTGCTTTCTGTTTTTATTGTTTTTATATTTTAAAACAATAACTGCCCCCCTTCCCCCCAATAAAACTTTAAAATGTTATTTTTATGCTTGTTTTATCGGCAAGGTTATAACCGAGGTTGGTTTTACTTTAGTACTTTAAATTTTATCAGGGTAAGGGTCGTTTTCTTCGATCACTGTGGTTAGTTTAGCGTCTTACTTTAAGATCTATCCTGGTATTTCCTAGCTTTCCCACGATCCCTTTGAAATTTATACGGTAACCATCAGTTTTCTATAACAAAAACAAGTGAACGGTCTCGTACCGTCTTTAGCTTTTTCATCTGCTGTAGTTGATACATGGCCCATCGCCTGTTATAATTTTGCCAAAAAAAACCGCATGTTAGAAAACTGAAATGTCTTTAATCTTTAGTTATGCGAAAGGACGTAACTGGAGAACGAGGGACCGGAAACACGAACTGTGACGAAATTGGAAGGTCTCGTTTTTCACAATTCGCAAAGATCATATGGGCCTGAATTTCAGATTTCTCCTCGAGTTGCAAACTCCCAGCAGTTTGCGACTCGAGAACACAGCTGCGATTCAGGGTTAAGGTCAGATACATCCATGTGGTAACTATACGTACATAAGGGGTTCCTGATGCATATGTTGTCTTTCAATAGTATAGACCAATTTCGGTATAATTAGATTCATACTTGGTGCCGAGGCTTGGGGAATTAAAACAAACGAAATGTATCATTCGGTCAACACTTATTTCCATCCGCCAAACTGACGTTGACGTTGAGGGTTAGGGTTAGGTTAGGGTTAGGGTTAGGGTTAGGGTTAGGGTTAGGGTTAGGGTCGTTGCTATATATGTGCAATTAAATCAAACCATTCATTGTCAACTATAGGGGTTAAAGTGATGCACTCTAGAGCCGATGCGCCGATATCGAATCCTTCTCGTGCCATCTTGAATTTTTTTTCCTTAAAAATTGAAGAGACTTAGACTTTTATGAACAGAAATTTCAAGGGACAGTGAAATTTCATGTAAGAAAAGTGAAATGTCTTTGAGAGCCACTGCTGAGAGGAAAATGTCAGTTTGGCGAATGGAAACAAGTAACGACCGTATCATTCATTGCTGAGCTCTAAGATGATTTCTTTCGTTTTTTTTCCCAGCCCAACCCTCGGTGCCAAATCTGAATTTTATATCGAAATTCGTCTATTTTATCCTTGGTTTAAAATTTATTTTTGATTGTTTTAAACTCGTTATCATACATTACCGTACAAAAAAAAAATACAGAAAATAAAACTTTAAACCAATTGAAACCCACCACATACATATCCTGTACAATATATACTATACAACGTCTCAGATTTATGTTTATTCATTTTCTTTATTCAATTTGTGTCCTCTAAGACTCGCTATCATGCTGAGTTTGACATTTTAATACGGTCAAAACTCGTTGAATACGGACATTGAGGGGGGCATAGAAAGGTCTAGTATATTAACGGGGTGTCCGTATTAAGGGGATTGAATTTGGACAAAATGCAAGGCCTCTTATTCCCAGGGACAAAGCAAACTGTCCGTAATAATGGTCGAGATGTCCACATTAAGCGGTTGTCTGTAATTAAAGCGGAGTTTGACTGAGCATCGAAAGTGGCCGCTATTATAGACTATTCACAGTCCTCTATTTTCCGTAAGATCGTCGAGATCGAGCGCTTTGCGTTTCAGGCTGCCATCTTGAATGAGTGTCAAAACTACTTGGGGGGCGGGGGCGGTTTGGTTCTCGCCCCCTCCCCCAAGAGCTATAATCCCCGACGCCCGCCCCTTCGATACATATGCATTTGAAAATCAAGATGGCCATCATTAACGGCGGAAGACCCCCCGGGGGGGGGTACTCGATATATCCTTGGGTGGGGAGGTGCGGCCCGAACCCTCATACCCTGACCCTGTTTAAGACAAAAATCGCTGATTGTCTTACCCTGTTTAAGACGGAATTCCGATTTTTGATACCCTGTTTAAGACATTTAACCCGAAACCATACCCTGTGTAAGAAAATAATAAATAAAAATTTTGCTGTAGTTTAGTTCGTAGAACATACCCAAAGTGTTTATCGTCCAAGAAAAGATACCCTGTTTAAGACAAAAATTGATAAAATCGATACTCTGATTAAGACAAAAATTGATAAAATCGATACCCTGTTTAAGACAAAAATCCCGAAAAACATACCCTGGCTGTCCACACGTCCCCATTAACCCCTTATAAGGGAGTACCCCCCACCCCCTCCCGGGTGGAAGACGCGCTATGTCTCGACGATCTCACAAAAAAATAGGGGACTGTGGCTTCTAGTAAGACCAAAGGAACAATCAAGAAGCAATGCAGTCTCGTTTGAAGCAGCAATTTTTGGTTCGGTTCTTTTAACTATGCAATTATAAAAAATCAATTAAAACCTGACCGTTTCTACTTCTTCTCTCAGCTGTTGATTCTCTTCCTCAACTTGAGCTTTATTCCGCAGTGCATCAAAGGTTGGCACGTGAAGGAACTGCCTGTTTGATGATCCACATGCCGTGCTATTGAGACCACGTCTCAGAGGATTTTCATCCGGATTTTTGTATATTCTGTAGACCTGAGAAATATGAAATTTAACAATCTAAGCATTTGACACAAACTGTGTCAAAGTGTGGATTACATCCGACCATTTAACTGAAAGCATCAAAGAGGCATTTTTCTGTGATGCCGTGTACTGGTTTACACAGGTTTTTAAACTTTCTGAAACTGGGGATAAAATCCTGGCAATAGTGACTATTAAATAAAGCTACTGAGCAGACTACGTTCCCTCTTGATGGTGTTCACTTTGCTTTACAGTATGAAGGTTCTGGTATAAAAACAAAGGCAAATAATGCTACAAGGTTGTTTTCATTTAAACCACTACTAAAGCGTCCTTACCTTAGGTATGAATAGTATTCCAAGAGTCAGCGTAGTGCAAAACAAGATGACTGCACAGATGAGGCAAAAACTGATGGTGGGGTGGCTGTTGGTGAAGAATGACACAGGAACACCAATTGCGCACAAAAGCACCACGTTATACACACTGATGCCGATGAATCGCGAGTCATTCAGAGCAGGGATAGAAACCTTTCGAGTCCCAATTGCGAGAAACAGGCCAAAAATAAGCAGAAGGCTGTGAAAAGTATAAAATACAATAATCCAAACTGTGAAATGAGGGCCATAACACTCCTCACGGTAAAGAATCGTCCTGTAATCGCGATCCTCAGACACCTGTAGGTGAAATGAGAAGAAATCAGAACGAACCTCCAAGGGAACGTTTTTTTATCTTGCCGAAAGTAAAGAGATTTCTTATACATCTCAAGAACATACTAGTTAATATAATTTTTGAACTCTTTTTGTCTGTTATCAATTGAGTGTGTGTTTATACTTGCTCCTTAATTTTTTTAACGTACGCAGTTTGTTATCCCTCGCCTTTGTATTTTCCTTGTTTGCTTTTACGCCCGTGGGGGCCCAAAGGAAGTTTGGGTAGAGATGTACTTTCAAGGCTTTTAAATCCTGCCGCTGTTTAGGACAAAATTGTTCCTTATTTTATGACCCTGATTAGGTTCTTTTTGCATACACAATAAAGTAATTTTTCAAACTAACATCATGGAATTAATGAAGTTATTTTTTTTTAATTATCAGCGCTTCAATTGCAGACTTGTCATCGCCAACTGGAGTTCAAGCGCCTTTTCCTGTTGACTTCTACCATGGCTAGGTACAAAATGTTGAATCACTTAGGTACTACCAAGTCTTACCGAGCGAGTTCCTTCCGTCTGAATTATGACGTTCCTGCTGGGGGGATGCAGAGTCATCCAGATCACCAGCAACAAAGCATCAACAAATACCAAAGCCCCCAACAGCCGGAACAGATCAAAATCACGAACCACCTGTTGAGAACGGGGTAATAACAGATATAAACCGTCAATAATTAACAAATAATGCGCTCATGCCGATGGAATGAAACATATCAGAATCTCGAAAAACCTGTAAGAGAATGGCCACCCACGCAGGCATGAAAGACGAACTCCCATAAAAACGCCTGCGTGGGAGGCTAGTAATCGAAGGAATGTACAACATTTTAAAATGTCAGTACCTTTTAAGATAATTCCGTTTCTATCTCCACTCCTTCCCAAGACGAAATTCACCTCAGAGAAGTTCTAATTCAATCTTATTCAAACCTATCAAAGAAGTATGCTTTGGCGGTTGATGCATGATTCTATGTCTTTCTGGTCTTTTTTGTATTTTTTCTTGATCTGTTTTTTATCCATGGAAATAAAACGTTCATGAGCAAATAGCATGTAAAAATTATTAACTTACCTTTCTCACTTTCTTGATATTGGTGAAAATTTGATGAACTCGCCACGTTTTCGAGAACATTGCCCCAAATCCAACTGTAAATCCAAGGGATAATAAACAGAATCGGGCCTGAAAAAGAGCATTTTTCTATTTAATTATTTGTCCAGTTCACAGTACGTATTTTGTTGTTGATGGTGATGTACATTATCGGCATTGTTACCATTGCAATTAATTGTCTTTTGTTTTGGAGATTTTCGTTTAAGTTATCACTGTTATTTAGCCGTACAATGCATAGTCACTGCCGACAAAATCACAGTGTAATCATCTCATGGCAATGCAGCCGCTATGAGCTTATCACTATTTGTTAGTTAGACTCACACGGCAGACGTAATTGTAGCTGAGTGGTGACAGTCTTCCATCCAATCCATATATAAACACAGTAGAATACATCATGATGCCTCCAAGAAGAATCACGTTATTTAGGTTTGGACTTGATAGTTTTATATACCTGGGGAAAATGTAAGATAGCTTGTTTAATTCTGTCAGCATAGGTGCCAATCAAACATGCGTTTTGGGGGTATCCTTCCTCAAAGTAAAGAAGACGGTCATGATCTTAATCATGGCAAGGTCGGAGTGATGGTCGGCATCATGGGCATCATAGTTCTAGTCAAAAAGAATTTGTGGTTATAGTCGTGGTCATCAAGAATGTGGTGGCCATAGCCACGGTCATCAAAAATGTGGTGGTCGTAGTCATGGTGATAAAGAATATGGTGGCCATAGCCACGGTCATCAAGAACGTGGTGCCATAGTCATGTTCATCAAGCTTCTTATTGGTAAAAGTTTTTAATCTTTAGTTATTGAAACAAGGGTGATTAGACACTAACTTTTTCTTCCTATAACGAAGATTGAATCCCAATAAAAAGACCGCTAGAGCAATTCCGAGAGTACTCAGACAACTTGTTAAAATGATCAGCCACATGGATATCTTGACATACTCAGTCACTGTGATTGTCTTGTCAAGAGGGATTCTACCATCTGTGAACAAAATAACGAAATAAGTAATATGTTCTTCAAATATATTAAACTATTATATCTGCAGTATGCTTGATGCCTTTTGAACAGAAAGAACTGCATATCCCTTCATTTTTTTGAGGCCATTAAAGGAATCAATCACTTAAGTAATAAGTTTTTCTGACTAATGGGGCACTTTCATCATACAAAATGTTGTAACGTAAGATTTGGTGTCCATTTCATCAATGTGAAGTCAGTACCTAAGAGCTAGGCATTCATATCTTACTCGCTTTCTAACTTCTATCATATATTTAATTGTCACTTGCCTTCGTAGTATGAAATGTAGTTATTACACGAAAGGAACCTCTTAGATGTCTCAAAAATTCAGTATTTGAGCGATGTGCAGCGAATATCAGGGCCCTGAGCTGAGATTCCGTTCGCGTCTTAAACGTCATCCAAGCTCCTTTCACTTCGTCGAGTGTGAAGTTCTTGCCTCAAGCCAAGATAATTAATATACAGCAAGGATATTGATTTTTAGGCTAATAAAGTAGTTACCTGGCCAAACATTTCCTTGACCAAAGAGCTGAAGCTTTTTGACGCGTGCGTCGTAGCAACCAACCTTCACCGCGCGGCCATCTGTGAACAGGAACGCCAACAACTGTCACTACACGACTTTCCAGGCAGTGTGTGCATTTTCTTATCGTACTAAACATTCTGTCTCTTATGTTTTTTTCTCGCCAAAACTAATCTTAGCCCTGAGGGTTTGCAGCACACGTTTTTGAAGCTGTTAGGACCGGACTTACAGTTGTTATCTTTTTCTAAGTGTAAAGCCATTCGGCTTTCCTTCTTAATCTAAGTGTGACAAAATGCTGCTGTTCGTCTTTGACTCAATGCTTAATTATAACTTCCCTCATCGTAATTTTGAAATCACCCGAGCATTCATCCAGTTGCTATGAGCAAATGTTATGATGCTAACCAATAAAATTCTACAACACAACTGGTACGGGAAAACGGGCAACAAAAAACATTCAGCTTGTCTTGCAACATTGATGCAATAAGAGTTGAATAGCGATGTTACGCGTTTTGCCACCCACATCAAACTTGTCTTGCAACAAATTAGTTTGTTGCTGGTTGCGAAAATTTGTTGCAGGAAGTATAAATTAGTTCTACTTTTTGCAACAAAATCTGTACATTTTATGTGTTTTACCAGTCCAAGGAAAACTTGTTTGGCAAAAAGTGAAGAAACTTCCGTCTATAGCCTGACTCCCGCGTAATTGTACCTAATCAGAAGTTAAAGTAGTATTCACGCAACTTGCAAAAACCTAATTTGTTGCAAGACAGGTTTGAACGTGGTTAGTAAAACGCGCAACGTTTCATTTCAACTCGTTGGGAAACAAGTTACACGTGTTTGTTGCCCACTTTACTGTCCCTTAAGGATGTCAAAACGTGTAAATGATGTCAAGCGTACCAAACTACCAGTTTCCACAAGGCCGAATGCCACGGCATTCGCTAGATCCGAGACTTAATCTTAGCACAGAATCTATGACAAGTACCTGGACGCTGTTGAAGGATTTCCACCATACCATCATACCGGTCGCCGTCATCAAAAAATGCAACTTCTCCCTGAAAACGAAAACAGAGTTCGAACTGAGTTTCACATTGCTTTCTCTGCAGAATCAAGACTCACGTCAAGCTATTTCGTCTCAGTTGCGATTTAACAAATAAAAGATACAACAAAACAAAAAACTTTCAACTTACAGTAACTCCAAGAAAGTGTATGTCTTGAATGGTCTGTACAAACAACTTGGTCATTTCCGTCTTATTGCGGTGAAAGTCTTGCAACTTTAGCCCCATGGACTTGAGAACTGGTATAGACTTGTTCAGTGACGCAGCTACAGTCCACACAGCATCGTAAGTGTAAGCGGTAATGTTTGGTACTCTTGATAAGTTTAACTTCTTTAATCTCTCTTTATACTGTTCATAAAACAGCCTGGTTGTCTGTGGATAGACACAATAGCCCCTAACATAACGTATTTATTCAAGATGAGGAAAATAAAAATTATAAAACATCTTGAAAAGGAAAACTGGGCCGAGTTGTTCAAAGCTGGGTTAAGATAACCCAGGGTTAGTGCGATATTTGAATTCAGATTTGAAAGCTTAGAAAGCATTTCAGTTTTAATGCTTTTTGTCTACAAGTTGATGATTGGAAGCTCTAAAAATAGCACAGAAAATTATCCGAGAAAATGCTTTTGAACACAAGAAAAAGAAACCTGGGTTAAATTTAACCCCGGGTTGAGGGCTAATCGGCCTTCGACCAACTGGGCCCAGGTGGTTGCCCCTATGACGTTTCCCTAAATAAAAAGATAAAACAGATATAAGCTATGCACAATATAGATATAAAATAGGACATTTAAAAACTATTTACAAATATAAATTGGATCACTAACGATCAATAATGACAGTCAGCACAAGACAAATAAATAGTGGACATTTAGGAAGCACTTTAGCGAACTCTTAAAACGGTTCAGGCTCCCAGCCTCAACAACAGATCCTAGTAGACTATTCCAGTCCCGTACGATTCAGATAGGAAAAAATTATTTATAAGGATTACATTTTGCTGGCTCAACATATAGCTAATACGGGTGGTTAGCAGGGTAAATTGCCCTTGGTAAAATCAAAAAGATCGTCAAGGTTTAGTTTGTCATGCTAAAAACGATCTTGTAGCATTCAACTATAGAAAGAAACAAATTACGTGTTTCGAGTGTAGGCCACTTTAGCTTCCTTAAACGATCTTCGTATTCCATCTCTACACGTTTTTGCCCGAGAGCAAGCCGAGAGGCTCTTCTTTGAACTTCTTCTAACGCTAGAACATCCTTAGCCAAATATTCCAGACCAAAAACGCCAGGTTTGTTCCTCATTTACGTCTTTCCCTCCAAGAATCGCCCTCCCTTTTCTTTCACATCAAAAAGGCGCATGATCACACCGGATTTACAGGGCTAGGAATAAGGGTTAGGAATACTTCTGAAATCAACCTATTTATGTTTCCTTGGCAACAGAACAGTCCCAACCAACGCGACCTGTGACCTCCACAGTAATGGTAGCAATATAAGCGCATGAAAGAATCTCTCATACGTTTCATGAGCATTTCTATTCGTTCCATTGTAAGTGGCTATGAGAAGATGGAAAATAAAATAAGTAGTAAAACCAACGAAAAAGGTCCCTGGCGAAAAAAGCCATGCCATAGCACACGACAATTATGCCAAAGTCTTATAAGAGATAGGCAAATACTCACTAGGCCTGAAAGTGTTTTGTTCTCTTTTTCTTTCTCTTCTTCGGTCACAAAGATTTGATTATTGAATATGAATGTGTATGCTACAGCTTTCTTCATTTCTTCCTTGGTACAAGCCAGAGTAGGGTCTGGTACCGACCACCAATTGTGCGTGTACGTTCCAATCAGAATCCAGACATACCGAACTCCATACAGGTTTGACTTGTATGCCTAAAAAAAACACTTGGGAATTTGTGTGTTGGGAAGTTAAAGTAAACTATCAATTAATATCTGATC